TGATGCAAATCCCAATTGAAAGAATTTTTTATCAAGTTGAGACTTCAAAGCGTTATAACACATAAATGTGACGTTGGTTTATGATTAGGTTAAGTAAAGTAATCCACATTATAAGATATTGGTTTGTTCTTAAAATTAGATTACATAGTGTGGAATGTGGATCCTTACGTCTTCAATGTTTGCAATGTTCAATGAATTGACCTAATTTACCTAATAAGGTAAATATCAATGTTTAACTAGATTGAATCACGTATTCTATAAACTACTTATAATTACCACTGCTCCCAGCCCCGCCAGGGGCCATCCATTTTTAATGGAACACTCATTTGTTGTTGTTTATAGTGAGGTTGCGAGTTCGAATCCCATTGTCTGCCTGGTCGTGGGGTGAGCGTCGTTGACGTTCAGCTAAGGACCCTGAGTGGTCTATGCAGCCCCCGGTCTACTCAGCCGAATACTCGAGAAATCGGGCGTGAGGGTTAAATGAGGAGCTGCACATTGCAGCAAAAGTCTCGGGCGAAGAAAGTATGGTACCTACACACTACCTTAACCGTCACTGGCCAAAACAAATCCTTCGGCTTCCTGTAATTGGCTGGTTGCACTTGTGTAACAATGTGGCTGTTGTACTCCGGAGTAAAATAAGTGTCTTTAAAAAATAGGGTTGTTTCTGCGGTTGAAATAATAATTTACAAAAAATACCATAATAGTATGAAATAGAACGGAAAACCTGGTAAAATACAAAATATGTAATGAATTACTTATAATTACTTATAAATTGAGATAATCCATAATAAAAAACAAAATGTGCTCGCAAGTCGCAAGAATCAGAAATTTAGAAAAGTGATCAATTTTCTGCTGCCTATAACTCGTCTAAATCGATTTAAAATCGACTAAAAAGACTCAGTCAGTCTCGAGTGGAAAATGGAATTGGATTATCTCACTTCTCAGTGATACTGAAATCACGTTAACAAGGTGATGAAATATCTATCCTCGATTTACTGTTTTTAAATACTTGCCATTTTTTTCACACTTTAAAATAAAATTGTCAGAGACACTTATAGAAAATTTACTTTAGTTTGAAAAAAAGCAATGTCCGATTATAACAGGTTCGTCAGGTCTTCCAGTAATTCCCTCAATGTTAAACCTTAACCAAAATGAATATCTACGTTTCTATAGTATTGGTAATTACCATGATTAGTGAACTTCTGGCATACCAAGTGAAATGGATAATGATCATGATAGTGGCTGCTTAAAAAAAAGTTATTCTGTGATTTTTGAACTTGTATCAGCTGTCCTGATTTATTGGTCTGATGACTGATAAGCATTGAGCAGTACCGAAATCTGAATACATCTCAAGGAAGTCAGAACAGTGCAGTTATCATATAGTAATAGAGTCAAATTATGATTTCTGATGACGCATGAAAGTTTTACCCCTGATCCGCTGATAGAATCAGTTTTACCCCTGTAGGAGTAAATAACATTTATTAGGACAATGGAAATGACTCGAAAACATGAAGCGTAATTTGATTGGTTACAATTTCTTAGATAAACTTTTTATTTACTGGTTAACGAATACCCGATCAGAAGTTAGTAGCGCAGCTACCATAAAAATTAAGAACATAATTCAACGAACTAAGGCTTCAATATCATGATACTATCTTACAATTTACCTTTATTTAGTACCGACTACCGATGACAGAAACATCGTTTTTCAGGCCAGGTTTTATTGGTGAAACAGGATATAACTTGACATACGTGCCGAACGAACGAAGAACTACGGAATACTGTTAGTTGGCGCGGTTTTTAGGCTGTCAGTTCCAATGTGACACACTATAGAGAACATCAAACCTGACCCAGTCCGAATGTTCACGCATGTTCGAGATTTGTTGACAGATTGCAAGTACCGACTAAAATAATATGATGATAATTGATAATACATGACCGTACCTGTTCGCACAAGGATCTTGTGAGCCCAACTGCAGGCAAGCCAAACAACAGTTTGCTTTATTTATTTGAGTGAGCAGCCTTATATTATCAGATATAACGGAAGTTTCCCAATACTGTTTGTAGACAGTGTTGACCTTCCGAGAGATGAGAAATACACGATACAAATGACTAATATGGTAGACGGTGGCGTGATCGACGTAATGTGCACTGCTACAGATACGGTTTCAACCGATTAACAATTCAACCCATATCATTTCAGTCAAATCAGTCGGCATTGATTCGGGGAAGAGCCGTGTTTCGTCTATTCAAATCCCTCAATCTTTAAGTATGACAAAATAAAAGTATTGGTAACGGTGTAAGAGCTTAAGAGAAATTTTATTGCAGGAAGTCTAGAAAGACAGTATAAAATGTTCGAGTTAAGTTTTCTCTTTAAAAAATATCGCACAGCCTGGGTAGAAAATTTAGTAATTGCTAGGGACGGAATCGTTACCAATAAATAAGAAAGTGTTCTGAAGAAGAAAAAATCTCTTAAGTTTAAGAAGCATGAAGTGATTTTAAGGGTAAAATTTAGAGTTTAGACAAGAAGATAAACAAACAAACGAGTGTAGGATTGCAGGAATATGTTTATAAGGGGTCGGTGTATTATTCAAATAAAATAAAAACAAGTTACCTTAATTCCCAAAAATTTGAGCGGGCCTCTCGCCCAAATTTTTTGCAGACCAAATTAATTGCATAAATCTTTTCCGTCTGCTAAATTTTTTGCTAACCAAAATTTTGGCATTTGGCCTGTGGCCCTGAAATCTATAGAAAGGTGGATTTTTCTTTATATAATCCAAGTGAAATAATATTTGAAATTTTAGTTTTCTAATCTGTCATTCATGGCTTGACCAAGTAAAAAGGCTTATATTTTAAATGAATAGAAATAACTGGAATTAGACTTCAAGACCTTTGGTCCGGGTTTACAGTAGTTCGCTACACACAATTATGTACACCTTTGTTTCCCCCAAAGCTAAGCGTATGTGCCGCTTAGTTTGATAGATCATGATGTAAACCTTCTAATTTTCTTCCAAACCTTTCGACCATCTGGTGAGGCGTCATAATGATAATTGTATGTGAAAGGGGTATGATAAGATATGCTGAGTGAGAGACTAAATATCACTATTGTATATCTATCATTTTGTACTGTGCCATCATCACTGTATTTTTTAGTAGTTACTGGGCAGATTAGATCGTAAATTTCACAATGTGAAACAACTCAGACTACCACCTACATGCTTAAAATGGAAAGCAAAATGACTGGAATAATAAGGAATAATAATGAACTAAGGCAAATATCTAACTGAAATTTTAGTGGAAAATCGTTCATTTTTCGAAGAATTTGTGCCCAAATTTTCGGTCGCCCAAATGAGTTCAAATTTTCTGCCCAAATTTTTCGGGCTCAAATAAATTGTGCTCAATATAATGGCACACAAATTTTTGGGAACTAAGGTATGTCGACCCATGATGTGTTGAGGCACCGGCTCCTTAGCAGAGTAAATATTCGGTTTTAAAATGATTTGAGAGTCAAATTATTAGAGATCATTCTCATATTTCCGAGCTCATTTTCTGCACAATAATGCTGTTTTTAAAGTATTAAGTAACTTGACCAACGACCATAATCTACTTATTTTTAAAATACTAGGCCAATAATCGAATTGACTTGAATTCAAATTTTACAAATATTTATTACCGGGAAACGCTTTGCAAATACATCCTAAATGCCAAATTAATAAGAAAAAAATTCAGTAAGAAAAAATTTGAGATTTTCATGAAAGTTTGTTAGTAACCACAAGTACAACCATACGGGCTAGCGGAAGTGTCCCCAAATGATATGTAAAATTTCATAATTTATCATACAGTCTTCAAAATTAATCACAAAGCCTCAATAAACTGCAATTTTTATTTATTTATCTTTATTAAGATAAAGTCGAACATACCATCAAGCTAAACACTGCAGAGAAAATAAACGCGAGATCACTGATATGATCCGGATTCATAATTATTCTCAATCATTTGAATTAATTTTCTGCATCACAGTAATTTTATTAAGTTGCCTAAACAATAAATTGTCTTTCTGTACGCAATCGACCATACAGAACGTCTCTCCTATTCTGCCGCACCAATATTACTGAATTGAGAACGTAATTATATTTCATATCCTCATACGGCGGTACGAGCGGATACCGCTGCCTGTAGGGCACCGGTCGGCATAACTGGGTAAACATGTAACCAAATAGCCTAACTGTAAACTGCTGTGAAAATATAAATGCGGTTAATGAGTTGGGTAAAACTTAAAAGATCGGTAATTGCTTTTAAAAGTTCGTGGAGTGCGTTTTTCCCAACTATGCTGGTCGGACGCCGGTAGAGCTGCCGGTAGTGCGCCGGTTCACCGACACCATATTAAAGTATATTTAAATGGAGGTCTTTTGCCAATTTCGCCCGGGGATATACTTAAACTTTAATATACGTTAATATAGTACATATATAACCAGATTTTTGGAGCCCTAAATCAAAAAATCACCGCGCACAATAAAACTGAAATGCGATTCAAAACATTTCATGCAAAAATATTAAAAATTGATTGAGGTACTTCAATTTTGATGTAATCACTTTCGCGATTATCGCGAACCGAGATATGGACAATTATTTTCATTTTTGTGGTGTTTCTCTAATATTTCGCTAAACGTTGTTGGAGTCCGAGTACTTTTCCCCCAACAATGCCGGTAGGGCACTCATGGTAGATATGACCAGATCATGGTGCTGATCACGTGGATCGTACCAGGTTCTTTCTAAGTGATAGCGAATGATTTCAGAAGCACGATCAAACCATGTTACCGATCATGTGATTAGATCCTGTTAAGAAGGACTACGGGGAGCTCTTACGAGACTCCGGGATCTATAGCTCGGACAGATGGGCCCTCAATCTATCTAACAGCCTTCATAATTCGTCAAAGAACCTCAGCAACCTCAAGCTCCAATTTAACGATATCTGTCTGGAAATAAAAATAAAAACTCACCAATGTAAACACTGCCAATGACGATTCCAAATAGTGGTATGATGTACTGGATTCCGAACAAGATATGACGGAGAGATGGCTTGATGGCGGTGATGCACGCTGAAACATTAATCACTTAAATTAATTACTTAAATTAATTACTTAAATTGATTACCTAAATTAAATATTTAAATTAATCAACTATATTTATCAAAATGTCTGAATCGGTAAATAGTTATTGACAACTAGTATATATATAATAGTGCTTCAATTGAACAGAATAACAAAACATCGGAATTAAACTAACCAATGAAGACGAAGGTTCCGATGCAAAAGTATCTGTTCTGGGAGTCAGCATCATCAATGAAGAGTCTTTTAATCTCTTTGAAGACATCAGTAGCACTTTCATAATCCTTGCTGAACGAGTTGTATAACTCAGTTTCATTGAGGGATCCTGAGAATAAACACTTTAGCAATTGTCGTTTGATTTGTAATAGTGTTACAATTACATACCAGCAATAAAGATACTAACAAAATGTTGGACAGTATTTCACGTATCAGTTTGGTGCTGTCTGTTTATTTGAACAGTCGCATGATTTTCAAACTATATGCATACAAAAATCCTTTAAAATTATTATCTTATTTCAGACTCAGTACTCGCAAGTGAACGTTATCCAAGTCTATACAATATTAATATATATTGTATACTCACTAATCACTAACCACGTGACTATGTATTGATTGTATAATGATGAGATATAATACCTGTGTAGTTAAGTTTGACAGCCTGGAACTGGTATATTGGAGGAGCATATTTGCACATGTCCGGTACCATTTCCCACAAAACATTCAGATCAGTAATCTCATAAGAACCGTTAGCCAGGTTTATAACAGAGTCACTGGAGGTTCCACAGTCTATGTTGAGTTTAGGGAGTATAGTCATGTCGCACAACTGGTAGAGACAGTTGTTCCAAGGGAAACTGTAGGTGTTATTTAAATAGTTAATTAATTGATAGGAATTTCAACACATTTGCTGTTAGTTGATAATATTTGGACATAAGGAAGCGTTCAGCTTCAGTCTACTAAGATTCCTTATCAGGATGGTTATAATAAATCTTAGATTGTAACGGATAAGGAAGACAACAATTTGTGAAAGTCACGTACTTGTTTTGAGCTTCAAGAGCTATGAAGGATGGTAGAGGATTAGCCACGGGGTCGCTACCGTAGTCAGAGATTGCTGTGGAGACTAAATAATCTGAAGATATGTACATTGAAATTGCCTGTAAAAAAGAGAGACGAGACGCATCAAAAATACTAAATATAAATATATATAATATAAATAAATATTGTGATCATCTATAAAATCATGTACAAAGCTGTAAGATACTCACTGAGTCCACTATATTTTCCAAGGAACATCTTGTTTATTAATTGCAATATATAATCAATGATCTGTATTGTTGGATACATGTAGTTCACCGCTTGAAACAAGTTTATAAACAAACAACCTGAAGGGAAAACAAATATTGGGGGGGGGGGGGGGGGGGGGGGTGTCATGTCCGTCTATGTCCGCCTATGTCCTGTCCTTTTTGGATTCTATGAGACAACGGACGTGTTTTTTGGGACATTGGCGGACACGGACGGACATTGGCGGACTCGGACGGACATTGGCGGACTCGGACGGACATTGGCGGACTCGGACGGACATTGGCGGACCCGGACGGACATTGGCGGACTTGGATGGACATTGGTGGACATTAGCGGACATTGGTGGACATTAGCGGACAAACATTTTGAGGACTGAAGAGTACTGAAGAGTACTGAGGAGGATGGCTGAGAAGGATGGCTGGGGAGGATGGCTGAGGAGGATGACTGAGAAGGATGACTGAGGAGGATGACTGAGAGGGAGGAGAAGGATCAGGAAGACCCAGGAGGAGGAGGAGGAGGAGGAGGAGGACCCAGAAGGAGGACCTAGGAGGAGGAGGAGGAGAACTGAGGAGGATGAATCAGGAGGAGGAGGACTCAGGAGGAGGACTCAGGAGGACTGAGAAGGAGGAGGACTGAGGAGGATGGCTGAGGAGGATGGCTGAGGAGGATGACTGAGAGGGAGGAGGAGGAGGAAGAGGAGGAAGAGGACTGAGGAGGAGGAAGAGAAGGACTGAGGAGGAGAAGGAGGACCCAGGAGGAGGACCCAGGAAAAGGCCCCAGGAGGAGGAGGAGGACTGGGGAGGAGGAGAACTGTTGAGGACTGATGAGGAGGACTGAGGACGAGGAGGAAGAGTAGGAGGAGGACTGAGGAGGGGAGGAGGAAGAGGACTGGGGAGGATCAGGAAGACCCAGGAGGACCCAGGAGGAGGAGGAGGAGGAGGACCCAGGAGGAGGAGGAGGACTGAGGAGGACTGAGGAGGAGGACTGACGATGACTGAGAAGGAGGAGGACTGAGGAGTACTGAGGAGGATGGCTGAGGAGGATGGCTGGGGAGGATGGCTGAGGAGGATGACTGAGGAGGATGACTGAGAGGGAGGAGGAGGAGGACTCAGGAGGAGGACTCAGAAGGAAGAGGAAGAGGACTCAGGAGGAGGACTCAGGAGGAGGACTTAGGAGAAATGAGAAGGAGGACTGAGGAGAACTGAGGAGGAGGAGGAGGAGGAGGACTGGGGAGGAGGAGAACTGTTGAGGACTGATGAGGAGGACTGAGGACGAGGAGGAAGAGTAGGAGGAGGACTGAGGAGGGGAGGAGGAAGGGAACTGGGGAGGATCAGGAAGACCCAGGAGGACGAGGAGGAGGAGGAGGAGGAGGACCCAGGAGGAGGAGGAGGACTGAGGAGGACTGAGGAGGACTGAGGAGGAGGACTGACGATGACTGAGAAGGAGGAGGACTGAGGAGTATTGAGGAGGATGGCTGAGGAGGATGGCTGGGGAGGATGGCTGAGGAGGATGACTCAGGAGGATGACTGAGAGGGAGGAGGAGGAGGACTCAGGAGGAGGACTCAGAAGGAAGAGGAGGAGGACTCAGGAGGAGGACTCAGGAGGAGGACTTAGGAGAAATGAGAAGGAGGACTGAGGAGAACTGAGGAGGAGGAGGAGGAGGACTGAATAGGAGGAGGAGAAGGAGGGGGACTGGGAGAGGACTGGGGAGGAGGAGGACTGATGAGAAGGATGAGGAGGAGGACCCAGGAGGAGGACTGGGGAGGAGGAGAACTGTTGAGGACTGATGAGGAGGACTGAGGACGAGGAGGAAGAGTAGGAGGAGGACTGAGGAGGGGAGGAGGAAGGGAACTGGGGAGGATCAGGAAGACCCAGGAGGACGAGGAGGAGGAGGAGGAGGAGGACCCAGGAGGAGGAGGAGGACTGAGGAGGACTGAGGAGGACTGAGGAGGAGGACTGACGATGACTGAGAAGGACTGAGGAGTACTGAGGAGGATGGCTGAGGAGGATGGCTGGGGAGGATGGCTGAGGAGGATGACTGAGGAGGATGACTGAGAGGGAGGAGGAGGAGGAGGACTCAGGAGGAGGACTCAGAAGGAAGAGGAGGACTCAGGAGGAGGACTTAGGAGAAATGAGAAGGAGGACTGAGGAGAACTGAGGAGGAGGAGGAGGAGGAGGACTGAATAGGAGGAGGAGAAGGAGGAGGACTGTTGAGGACTGATGAGGAGGACTGAGGACGAGGAGGAGGAGTAGGAGGAGGTCTGAGGAGGGGAGGAGGAAGAGGACTGAGGAAGATCAGGAAGACCCAGGGGGAGGAGGAGGAAGAGTAGGAGGAAGCATCTAAATGTTATTTCTATTTTTGTCCGTTTTTGTCCATTTTTGTCCGTTTTTGTCCGCTCTATTTTTTGTCCGTTTTGAAAATATAGGGTACCGAACGGACAAAAAACATGATCCCCCTATAACAGCAAAAATTAAACATTTTATTTAGCAATTTAGGTGTCCATTAATGTCCGCCTATGTCCGCATATGTCCATCTATGTCCGCCTATGTCCGCCTATGTCCGCCTATGTCCGTCTATGTCCGCCTATGTCCGCCTATGTCCTGTCCTTTTTGGATTCTATGAGACAAGCGGACATAGACGGACGTGACACCCCCCCCCCCCCCAATATTGTATTAAATCTGTTGTTATACAAAAATAGAATAAACTGACTGAGCAGTTTCCACTTTCCTTCTGTTTTGAAATTCATCAGTTAACAAATTAACTTAAATCAACAAATTGTTGCTGTGTCATTGTCAAAATAAAGTACATGACAAATAAACATATTGTTGATAATTTTCCAAAATAACAACATTAATTATTAATCGAGACATTTAAAAATCCTAATTACTTACACCACCCCACCCCGGCGAAGGACGGATGAACTTTCTTCCACACAGAGATGGGACCCGACCGGAACACCTGACCAAGATCTATCTCCAGGATAAAGGCTGGTAGGGACATTAACAAATGCACTATAAAGCATTGTATCACGAACACATCTGAAAATAGTGTCTAGTGTAAAGTTATTAACTGTACTAGAAGTGTAAAATGTTAAAGGAGACTGATCGTGTCATTTGGCAGGCACTTTAATCTCAGTTAAAACCCGTTTAAAAGTAATTAAATTAAATCGAATAATTTATATAATAAGTTTTAATCACAGAGACACAGCCTAGCAGGTTGGATGCAAAATAAAAATCCAGTTTGTGAGAATCATTAGTTATATAATCTTACATTTTCCGAAGGCGTAGTACTTGTAAGCGAATCTTGTTATAATTCCCACTCCGATAGCCGCTCCAGATTGGGCTATGACGTAGGCTTGAGGAAACGCCCACTCACCCCTGTTATCTACTGGGTAGATTATTCCCAGAGGATATTTTCGTCTGTAAATTGAGGATACGTTAGAGAGCTATTTATTTTGACACGAACTTACTATTTTAAGAAGTTTCAATTTCGTTGTTGCAACCTAAATCTAATAAATGAATTTCCCAATGAAAAACTTGGGAAATTTGTGAATTCTCGAATGTCGAAATGTTGTAAAGAATACGCAGTCATATAAAATGTTCTACAAATAAAAAGCTATAATCTCCTGTACAATTGTCGAACATTAACAACAATGACTGTATGACCCCCTTTCCCTCTCCTACTGAAATCATTACTTGTGTTTGTAGACCCTCCAATTTTCCCTCGTTTGAGCATTGTATGTCAGACTGGACCATATCGGCCACAAGGCGCAGAATATAATGAGGGCCCATTGTATGAAGAGGATGAAAGCAGGCCATTCTGTTCGCTGTCTGAAATCCTGGAGGAAAGGTATATTTTGTATAATTTAGAGTGACACGAAACAAGGATATCATTATGACTATGAGTTTTGCTTCCATTTTGTCTAAAACGATTCCAAAATTCGAATATGTAAGTTATGATAATACCAGAGTATCAGCAGCTGAAACAATTCATGATGATCACAAAAAGAACATAATATGTCTATAACAGCTGTAACTTACCGGAGAAACATTGCAGTCAACCAGTGCGGGATAACCGTAGTTAACAAACTGTTTACTCTGCAATTGTGTGAGTATTGTTTTTACTGAATTTATTTAGGAAAATATTTCACCAATCAGGATAGGGGGTATCCTCAAGTTCTATAAAAAAAGCCTTTTTTTGAAAGAGACAAAAATTATTTATTTTGGTTGACTTAAGTTTCAACGTTACCTGGGTACCATTGCCGGTAGTATACTCCGGATATACTATACTCTTGTTAAACTGAGGGTGTTTAGTTATCACAAAAAAGTGAAAAATAAGAGGACCTATATTTCTCTCCTCCCCACCCCTCTCTCTCAATCTCATAAAATAATTGAGATCGCGGAACGAGCAAAAACACTGGGACTAATGTAGGAAAAGGTGCTCCCCACAAATAAATTCAGTACCGACCTGTAGATACACTTCTGATATAAAGGTAGCAAAAAGTCCTGGAGGAAGCACCCAGGAGAAGTATTGTTGCCACAGAATGGGTATCTGATAACCACACTTTAACCAAACATCGTCATTAAACCTGGAGGAAAAGATAATTTATTGAGATTTTGAATAATTTTGTTAAATGTTGGGTTTTGATGGGGAGGTGATCCATGGAACAGTGTCACACGTTACTTTATCAAACTGTATCAGTTGATATACCGTCAATGTCTACTACTTTACATTTCACGCAAATTCCATAACATAACGACCATTTCACGATCATTTAGGAATTAGGACTCGGAACTCCAAAAAATCATTACACTCTCTCCAGTGTAATACCTGTATATACTGTAAATCCAGGCAATAGCGAAGACCTCTGCACAGGCTATGAACATGGAAGGTATGGGGTAGATAACCTGATCCAGAACTTCAAACAGATAGGCTCCGTTCTGTAGCCCAAACAGTAGTCCGATAATACAGGACAGCACGGAATACACAACTGAAAGTAAAGGGGCATTAAAACACAGATTCAAGTTTTTATCATAGAAACTTCTCCCCGAATCTAGACAAGATCAGTCGTATCACTGATCACAGTTATTTTGAACACGAGCACTTTACGTAAGATCATTTTCTACTATACAGTGCGAGTAGTGTTGAAAATCAGTTTCATGACGAATTAAGGATTTTCATAAACGGTGTAAAGTTTGTTAGTCAGAGTTTAGAGAGTCTAGTGTTGCTCACTTGAAAGGGTGATACGTTTAGCTGGTATCTCGTAAGGGAAGAACTTGTTGGGGAACTCAATATCCATCAGGGTGGTTAGAACTACTTCACCAATAGCAAGAGCAGTGACCATAGTCAGTGTCAACAGGGTCACAAAGTATACTGCAACCGCTATCTGCAGGACAAATCATATAATTCTCGGTTTATCTTTTTCAAATCTTCGACTAGAGCAAGGGAATACAGACAAAGAGATCTTTGAATTTTCGGATAAATATACTAATTTTGGTGATAATGAAAACTTACGCTGCCGAAGGTTTTTCCAGTGACTTCGTCCTCCAGATTTTGAATAACAGTGGGTATGATCACGAATACCAAACTGAAATCTGTCGGCAACTGAAAAAATCATTAAAACTTAAGATAAACCTCAATAAATAAAACCTAATAAAACCTTATTATGTATGAACATTTAACGACAAATTAAATTTACTACATTCCACTACAATTTTATCAAAGTTATAAAACTAATAAAAGTAACCTCTTTAAGGGACTTCAAATCGTCGGCGACAGTGTAGTAACTAGCAACAGGGATAAGGAGGAGGGTGGTCACAAGGGGAGCCAACATTCCTAGGGAGAAGAGAGTTAAATCTTGGATGGAAACAACCGACCGGATGAACTTTTTTCAGCCGGCCCGAATTTTGGAACCGGAGCCGGTTCTTTTAACAATTTTTTTTCAGCGAGACGCCGATGGGCACACCTGGCAACCCTTTTCCTCGCAATCATCAAGATTATCATTAAATTGATAAGATCACAATAAATTTGCTTATAGAAATTAAGTGATAAACCAAAAAAACTCTTACCCCAAACTGATATGAGGATGCCATCCTTAACGAGGTTGTATTGAGGATTAGCGTACCCAGAGTAAGTACTGAACACGCCCAGACCACACAGGGACACACGGAACGCCTGGGTCGCGGCGTTCATCCACGTTGAAGCGTCCAGTAACTTGGCAAACTGGAGGGGATATAGTGAGCTACTTTAGGGTAGCTACAGGCTTTGCAAAATGTCAAGGGAAACAACCAAAATAAAATGTTAGGTGACATCTAATCAAACTAACCCGGCTAAAAATTCCAGACTTGTGTTAACTTACATCTGGTTGAAATATCTCCAGTAACTTTGCAACAGGCTCGTCTACATTATTGGCATCAAGGTTCCAGGTGGCGAGGGACTTAGCAAACAGTCCCAGGAACACCACCAGAGGTATTACCAGAGAGATGTAAGGGAACTGGTGAAGAGTCAGGGATGAAACTTGCAACTTAACTTTAAAAACGACATATTCTAACTAAGTTTTAAGTTATTGATTATGGAAATGAATTAAAGAGAAACGCGCGAGTACAGTTGTTATGAAAAGAAAAGTTTTTCTATAACTATAACAGTATACTATAACTATAATTCAGTAACTATAACTATAAGTCACAGCGTTATATTACCTACAGAATCTTAAACTTATTGACTGCTTACCTTTCCTTTCACCCAGAGTCCACTACACATGAAGGCTCCAATGAGGAACCAAGCGAAGATGATGACGATAAATGGCCAAAACTTGTCATACGTCGTATACCATTTAAAATCCCCAAGGTCCAAGGGTCCCTTTGATATGTGCAGGAACTCATAATACCAGTGGAATAAAGTATTTGAACTCTGAAAATTATCTTGTTAATAAAGGTTCTATACAAAATTTCGGACATTACATATATTTTTCTTGTAAAGTTCTTGTTAGACTTTCAAGCAGTCAAACAGATACAAAATATTGCAACATGACAAAAATGTGTCTCTTCGACTTCAATTAAAACAAAAACCTTGCAGCAACTGAGCTCACTACCAGTCCAGCCCTTCTCCTCGCAAGTACCATGTCCCGGGTAGCTTCCACTAACATCTATAGCTGCCCACATACCCTTAAAGGCGAAGTAGAGGGTCCAAGCGGTGGTGGTGTTAAAGTAGATGTTGTAGATTATCGTGACAAACAGTATAGCTGAGAGGTGGTTAGTGGTTACTGGTGGTTAGTGGTTATTTGAAAACTAGCCTTTCAAAATGGCGAGGGCTTCACGTGATAAGTAGTTTATATGTTGCTGGCATTCGATTTTTCGGATGGCAATGGCTGTTCAAAATATGGTTATAAACCTCCAGGTATCAAAAATATCTAGCTCACGAGGGGGCCACATGAAGAGATTAATGATTGTAAGACAACGATTTTGAATTAATTGTCATAATCTATTGAAGCCGATCAATTTTCGCTTTTAACATTAATAATCAAGACTGTGAAATAATTCCCCAAATAAATGATATTCACAAACATTTTCCGACGCCAGAGAAGTACTTGTGTATCCGCTCCATGGTAACAATCACTCCCCTGCGGTACACCTGACCAATTAACATCTCCATGATTAGGGTAGGGAGAGAAAACATCATGTAGAATATAAAGTAGGGGATCAAAAACGCTCCTGAAAAGTAACGATGATTATTCTCGAATATGTTTATAAATTATTAACAATAACATATTTAAAGGACCAGTTAACTGAAAAATTTGTAGTCTCCAATTTGGCTAAGATTTAAATCAGCTGTGACAAACTGGTAAAGAATCGTATCGCCGAAAGAACCAACTCTCTAGCGTACGTGTAACGCGTGTTATTGCAATAATAAGCTGTGGCCTGATCGTGACGTCATAAAGTCCCTCAGTGCGCGCTTGCATAGCGTTTAATACATTGCAAATGTTTATCATCGTCAATAAAACACGTGTAACTCTCTCAAATTTTAGAATTATGACTATTACCCTAGTTCTCCAAAATCCTTATAGTTTTGGCTATCATCCTAACTAAAGGAATAGTTGATTGGATGTACAGTGCTCACGTCATGATTTTAAACAGTGATATAGGTTCTTGAACAGTGGCGGGTGAATGTACGGTTAGAAAGTTTCTGCTATTACAACTTATGTCATATGTGATAATTTTGGATTGTTTTCATTGCTTAATTACACAAGCAGGGGGACTGTACCGATTATTTTTCCCCAGTCCATGAAACTCTAACGAATTTAGAAAGGATCCAGATAAGTAGGAGTTTGTTCAATTCCGAGAGCAATTATATTTATAGCATAGCGAAATTTCTTATTTTAATCCGCATGTGTAAGCCAGTACAGGAGACAAGAAGTCTGGCTACTTTACGGCCGTTCCTCTGGGACCATTAATAGAAGTAGCTTCTATCAGAACAGTGCCGTGGGAACAGAATTCCCGCCAAAATACCCGGTCTACCAAATAGTAATACTGATTGGAGTGTACGGTGTGAGGTGTGTTTTGAATTAGACTTACGGCTTACCTAGTTGTTATCCTAATTGCATTATCATCGGTACATAACATAAATAAACTACTGGTAAGTTTGAATACCAAGTGCAAACGTGTTCAGTCAATCGACCCACTGAACAACTATAGAATTTCCAAGACCCTATTATTCTCTGGCCATATATTACGGCACGATCGATTGTTAGATGTAAACGACCAACGTTAATCTATACAATTCTAAAACTATGAGCTAGCACTTTAATCTAAAAATACACTTTTTATATTACTCCTGATTTTTACATTTCACGTAAAACATTGTCGCCACAGGTTGATCATGGACACTAACAGCTTAATTTGAGATAAAAGGATAAATGACTTATGAGTTTCTCTAAAGTTAACTCTAAAGTTGTGTAGTCATTTATAGACATTTATGGAAATGAACCTGCAAATGTTCAAATACTCACGAAACTTTGCACAAACCTTCCCGAAGTTATGAATAAACGATTTTCGTTTGGAGACATTTTTTTACCGTGGAGAAAACCCAGGAGGGCCACGCCCATATTGACCCAATAACGTAACCGACCCCTTGCTTCTGAAGGTCGTAGAGACTTCAAAATAGGCTTAAACGAAGCCGCATATGCATGTTTATATAGGAGTTATTGAGCAACACATGGCCTAAAATCCTTACTTTTCGAGAAATTCGCCAAAAACCATTTTGGGCGTGGTGCTGAGCCCATTTTCGATAGGATCGTGATAGAGTCTTGAGACAGGGTGCAAAAGAACCGCAATTAGCATATTAATATATGACTTACGAACAAACATATGCCTTAAAGTGCTTACTTTTTCAGTTATTGGCGAAAAACTGATTTTCGGTTCCAGAAATCATGCAAAACATATGGGTATCTGGTAAATTGGGCTATGAAGGCCTGAAAATTTGTTAAATGTGCGCAAATTGTGCAGAATGGCCATGTTTATATACAACTTATGAAGCAACATGTACCCTAAATTACTTACTTTTCGAGTTATTCGGGGGAAAAGATTGTATTATGTCCATTTTCTACCTGTAAAATACAGTCTCACGAGCTCTTCTGCGCGCGCAAGGGACTTTATGACGTCATCGCCAAAATAATACAAACGCTATTTACACGCGTTAGAGAGCAGTTAGAGATTTTAGGAATTTCGACTCGTTGCTTAGTTTGCTATTTGTCACAATCTGTCAAAATATGAGGATAACTTTTTTTTCAGTTAACTGGTCCTTTAAGAGGCAATATTTTCACAGCCATGTTTCAAAATTATTTGCAGCTAGCAATTTAATTCAGTACATTTGAACAGTTGAAAATTATGAGAAAAGCACGTGAAACGCAGTTATAGCTACGTAAGTACCTCCTCCGAATTCCTGCATAGCGTATATAAAGCTGCCCATGTTTCCTATACCCCAAATAGCAGCCATTGATGCCAAAATAAACTCCAGACGATTCGTCCACATTGGCCTATCCTAAACAGTTGGCTATTGATCAGATAAATCGCTATTAAATTCGTTAAGAATCTTGTAAAAAGGAGTTTCAAGCGGTAGATAGAAAGTGCACAAATCAAGATATTAAGATTGGTCGAACCTCAGATATTTTCTTTTCCTTATCATCGTCTACGAGATCGTTTCTTCTGAATGGTTTTTGAGTCATGACGTCGAAGTCGAACCCCGGTATTCCTTCCGCATTTGCAGCTGCTCCAGTGACAGGCAAACCTGGGGTATTGAGAGATGTTGAGGGCGAGGATCAAGAGAGGAGGAGGAGGACTCACTGAGGAGGGGCGAGATAGGGGTAGAAGGAGGGGTTACTGGGAAAGGGAGTGGGAGGTAAGGGCCGAGGGGGTTAAGGGAGGGGTTGGAGCCTGGAGGGGCTGAGGGTGGTGTTTCAAACATCGTTCATATATTCGATGATGAAAGGATTATACCTCGAGAAGTTTTGTCTCTTTTTAACAGGTTAGTGATAGTAAATAGATGTTCATGTAAATTGTGGGCCAATAAGTGTTCAAGTTGATGTTGGACGACTCGACTGATGACTACTTTAATAATCATTATAATTTCCACATTTTGCAGTTTCCAATGACAACAGCTGCGATCATCAAATTATAACATCATTGATTTGTTCGACCACTTCCTAATCTTATAAAGTTACAACATAAGAGCAACAGCTGAAGTCTGGGCCGAACAAATGTGCATCAATTACCCTTATTATGTCAAATATAATCAATAATTTGTGGACCAGACAGATTTGAAACCCTGCAAATCATAGATAACAAATTGAAGAAAGAACGCCAATTATTCAATAACTCGGTAACAGTCACCCACTGTATTTCAACGAGGGAGACGCATCTTATCTCACCTTTCAAAAAATTGAATGACGGGAATAATTATGATTTTATAAGATTGTATCGGGTCGAACTTACCTGCAGAACTCATGGGAACTTCAGCGGCTACATTACCAATGGTTACCCACGGACTTGGCTTAGGTTTGGCGGCTTTCTCCTTCTCGGACTCCTCAAACTTGGCGTACATGGAGCCTTGAGAGGCAGCACTGACCGCCCGGTCGATAGTCGTACCCCATAACCACATCTTCGGGTGAGGTCACGTGACTGTTGATCAGATCACGATAATTTAGTCAGATCACGAACTTTCAGTTAGATCAAGAGTTATTCTTTCAATGAGGAGGAAGGTAAAACCAATAGTTTTCTGGAGTCCGCTGTTAACCTTATTTCACAGCTGACTTGTTTATTCTTCAAGAGGTGCGGAAAGATTTGTCCTGCAGTTTGATTGATTCCTATTTTATTCTCCACATTTAATTACATAATATTCCCATTGGCCATTGCCTGTATCCTGAACAAAGGTTGAAGTAGCAGAAAAGAAAGAAAACAAAACAAAACTGAACTTAGGAAGGCGATGTTCAAACCATGACAAATATATAGAAAAGTTGAGCAAAAATGACGGCAAATAAACCTTATCGCAGGGACATAATAGCAAATAAACCTGATAAAAATGATATAGCAATAAAAAGTATGTAAAGTAAGTGAGAGTGGAACACAACATTCCAGCAGCAGAGTTAACATTAGTGTACGTACAGTAAAGTGTAAACCAACCTCAAGATTCAGTAAACATTATCAGTTGCTCTACTCGGTTGTGTCTTGAACACAAGCAACGTACCCATGGTGTGTGGTGACATTTCATCGTGGTTGGGGATTCAGATTGACGCTTAGTCAGTAATGATAAGGGGTATCTGAAAATATGTAATTTTGTCAGTTTTATAGAGGTTTGGATTAAAAAAGAAGGCAATTTATGAATTTATAACATCTATTTGCAATCATTTGAAGCTTTTCGGGGAAATATGCAAGAATGGCTTACATTCCGACAGCATGTTTTATAGCTAATAGTAATAACATATTGGTAATATGAAATCTCCTACTTACTGGGATTATCAAAGGGTAATTTGAGGAAATGGAGGATAGCATACAGACTAGAGGAACTCAAGTTGTATTTATTATTGGAAATGTTTCCGTCAAATTGAATAGTACCCCAATATTATATATGTTTAATTAACAGCTCCCAGATTGGTAATGTACGTCCCCTTACTCTTAGTCTTAGATGTTGCCAGGCTGAGATTGTGTGTGGTTATGTCCACTATGCGATGTGTTGAGTGACCAAGCGGTCAGTTGTAAAATATATGGTTTTTAGTTTTACCCCATAATACTGCTGTCATGTATCTACGGATACACTAAGCACATAGTCTAAAATTGTTGCACAACCTCTGATCAAAATCAGGCGATCGTTACAGTGGAGCAACATCTCAGCTTCAGAAGTGACACTGCCAGTTCCAGCCTCAACACGTGATCCCTAATAACCTGTTTGTCATGGTAACCAGGTTGTCACGTAGTTGAATTAGCACTAGTGCACATGTCTACTGTGACCTCATGACACAGTAACCATGCGTATAATGCTAATGCAACTATTAAAATTCACCGTTTTACAATATACACAGATGTCTTTGGTTTTTTCTAGAATGATTTAACATATTTTATGAAATTTCCTTTAGTCAATTAAATGTTTGCAGGCCGGGAGATAATTTTTATCTCTCATTATTGATCATGTTTTAACAAATGAAATTTAAATACTTCAGGTTACATTTCTATTAAATGTTCTCAGCTCAAAATGTCCATTTTCAATTCCGCAGAATTAAGGAAATTTCAAAGGATTAAATTTAATTGCTAAGATCTGAACAATAAAATCAAATCTTGAAGTTAAACTAATTACAAGATTTAATCATCGGATCATCCATAAGCACAGGTGCAGAGTCAGCTACACCGGTCTGACTTTAGTAAGACCGGTGTCTGACTTTACTATTACATTTAATTTGGTATGGTAAATGATTTAGAACCTTCTGGCTACCATCCAAATCCCTTAAAAAGAGGAACGGTCCGAGGCTAGGGTCAGTTATCAACTAACATTTTCTAGGAAGTTACCATTTTTACTTCGTCTAAATCGTTCTCTTCTTCAGTTGTAATATGAAGGCTTTTGTTGTGATTTTTGCGATCATCGCTTTCGTCGCGTCAGGCCCGTAAGTATTGCCGTATTCATATTGGCTATCTTAGGAAGAACATGTGTAAACTGTATCCCAAATAGTCACGTGTTGCTTAATGGCGGAGTAGTCACGCGTTGCTTTGGCGGAGTAGTCACGCGTTGCTTTGGCGGAGTAGTCACGCGTTGCTTTGGCGGAGTAGTCACGCGTTGCTTTGGCGGAGTAGTCACGCGTTGCTTTGGCGGAGTAGTCACGCGTTGCTTTGGCGGAGTAGTCACGCGTTACTTTGGCGGAGTAGTCACGCGTTGCTTAATGGCGGAGTAGTCACGCGTTGCTTAATGGCGGAGTAGTCACGCGTTGCTTTGGCGGAGTAGTCACGTGTTGCTTAATGGCGGAGTAGTCACGTGTTGCTTTGGCGGAGTAGTGACGTGTTGCTTAATGGCGGAGTAGTGACGTGTTGCTTAATGGCGGAGTAGTGACGTGTTGCTTAATGGCGGAGTAGTCACGCGTTGCTTTGGCGGAGTAGTCACGTGTTGCTTAATGGCGGAGTAGCCACGTGTTGCTTTGGCGGAGTAGTGACGTGTTGCTTAATGGCGGAGTAGTGACGTGTTGCTTAATGGCGGAGTAGTGACGCGTTGCTTTGGCGGAGTAGTGACGTGTTGCTTAATGGCGGAGTAGTCACGCGTTGCTTTGGCGGAGTAGTGACTATAACTCATAAAAGTGATAATGCTCCTCTACTAGTCTATTGCGTTCACTAATTGAAATCTTTACTCTTCAGATTATCACAGAGAGACATAGCAGACGTATTAAAAGACCCATCTTCAACTCAAGAGGATATAATTGGAGCAGTTAGTGAACTGTTTATGTAATTTAGTCTCAAGTCTCAATTCCCTGCCTCAAATTAAAATTTCACTTCTATAGTAACTTAACTTTAATAATTATTCAATCGCTTCAGCTCCAAGCAGAAGGAAAAGACTTCATATGCAACGGAGAGTTGGACAGGCTGATGCTTGAACTGAACCTGCACCCTGGTCCCACTGTAGGGGTCGTCTTCATGGTCAAGATTCAGACTTGTTCATCCTCCTGTAAGCACAGGTGCACACTCGGTCACCAACTTCATTGTAGTTGTACTAAATTTATAACATTTTTTCCTCGGCGAAAGTTTATCGCTGAGGAAAATCTTGCTAATAATGTTTAAAGAATCTTAGAATTAAAGAAATTGAAATTCTGATACATGATAGCTGACAGATTTTGCAACTAAAATGTCTGTCTTCAGCATTTCTGAAAAACATTTAGCAGAAGTATTGAAGGATCCTTCTTCAACTACAGACGATATCACAGGAGCGGTGAGTTTCAGTTACCTTAAAGCGATCAACAAATTGTGTTTTGCCGCGTATAACATTTGATTCTACTCTATTCTATTAAACATTGCACTTGAACATAAAATTGGTCATGGAAATTAACTGATTGAAGGATCTAGTCTAACCTTTTTTCGTCTCAGCTTGTCGCGGAAGGAAAAGACTTCATCTGTAACGGAGAATTAGACAAGCTTATGAACGAGCTGAAACTCCCGCCAGGTCCTACAGTCGGTATCGTCTACATGGTCAAGGTCCGAACTTGTTCGTCCTTTACATGTTTTAAACATTTAGCAGAAGTATTGAAGGATCCTTCTTCAACTACAGAAGATGTCACAGGAGCGGTGAGTTACCTTAAACTTAAAGCGATCGTTGAGTAATTTTGTTTACAATTTTTTATTGTGTTTTGCCGTATAAAATTTGATTATACTCTATTATAATAAACATCACTTGGACATTAAATTGAAAATTAGCTCAATTCTGATTGAAGTCTAACCTTTTTTCGTCTCAGCTTGTCGCGGAAGGAAAAGACTTCATCTGTAACGGAGAATTGGACGAGCTTATGAACGAGCTGAAACTCCCGCCAGGTCCTACAGTCGGTATCGTCTTCATGGTCAAGGTCCGAACTTGTTCGTCCCTGTCATGTTTAAAACACAATTAAAAACAGTCAACTGTGGAGGCTTGGTTTTTTTGAATCGGAAACATTTATGGTATTTTTTGAAATTCTGAAATCGTTGATCAATTTTGAATTCGTTACTTTTGAGGATGAGTAGTATGCATTTTGCATTTGTTGGACGGGATTTTGAGAATCTCTCAGTCTCATAAAGTATTTAATTAAATATGACGTTATTTCGCTTCTTAACGTTGAAATATTTAATCTGTGAACAGTCCTTCAAGTTCAGTTAAGGAATCAGTAAAACACAGTTGTTAGAAGGTGGGACAAATAAATTTGAAAATGAAAATAATGCTATAAATTATATAATTTAAAAAATTGTCTGGCAAGTGGCACCATTTTAGCGACACAAGTTGTGTTAGAAATTGAAAATACCGTGACAGGTCTCTCGAGGTTTGAAACGAATACAAAATAAATCTTTGCTGGTATCTTCTACAAGAAGTCAGAATGTTCAACATTTTAACATTATTAAACTTAATTCTAAGGAGCAAAAATGGTATTACTTAAGCGAATCAGCCTCAAGATAAATAAACTTGCAACAAATAGTCAACAAGTAAACGTTTAAGGAGAAATTACAGTGGTAATAGTTAGATATTTATAGTTATACAGCAGCTCAGCCCGCTGAACAAAACTTAAATAAGTAGCATGATAAGGAAGCGTTTCATAACAAAATGCTCGATTCTTTTTAACACTTTCAACATTCAAACAAAATTGTCCAAATTATTAAATATCAATCGGGAGTCCAGACCACTTCTTTGAAAGGAACTTTACAATCTCGTCATACCAGACCGCGACCGGCTGGACTCAATCGGACTCATCCGAGTCCCCAAAGGTGTACTTGACAGTTTTCCTGCTCCTTCCTCCCGAGTTTCTGTGGACCACTGGCTTATCATCTGGGAATATTAGAAAATATTCAGAAATATTCAGATGAGAAAAGGTTATCGTTCAAGATTTCTAATTAAGCCTTTAAATTAAATGGCTTAAGAAATGAGAATGATGTGAAAGCCCGAACATTTAAACAATGTGAGCATCGACCCTTCCCTCAGAACTTTGAAATGACTAACAGAGCCACCCCTGCAGATTTCGTCGATTTCAGGTGCCGTCGGCACCATAAAAATTATAAGCAAACATAAATTTTTTCCCCTAAAATCGAACGCTTTCTGCGCAAAAAATTGACCTAAACAGAAAAAATTAAACATGGCTTCAAATCCAAATTTGAACCAGAGATTTTTCTTTTCCTCTCGATAAACTCAATTTTCAACCCAAAATAAAGTCTCAAAGGGGTAAATTACTCAGGTCAGGATTGTAGGCAATGATTATGCCAAACCATACATTTTTGTAAATTCATTAAACTTTCAATTTAGCCTAAAACACCCTATTTTGCAAAAATTTTCCGGGGGGCTGCGCCCCCCTAGCCCCCGCCAATGGGTCCGCGCCCCCAGACCCCTGCCACAGCTTGCAGCTTCACTCGCCGACAGCCCCCCCCCCCCCCCCCAAAGAAAAATCCTGGCTACGTGCCTGAGCAAAATATACAGGGTGGGCCAAAAGTACCCATACGTTGGCCTTTATAGCTCAGTCACTGAGTGCCCAATTTAAATACTTCTTTCTGGTATGACTTAGTACCACCACTGGTTCGAGGAATTTGCATTGTCAACTCGAAAAATATTCGCTTTCATTTTTTTCAAATGGAGGTTCATTTTCACATTTATTTGATAGTTTGGATAGTCGGATCAAGCTAAATGTTATTGAATTGTGTTTGGCCATTCGAATTACGTTTGTCCTGAAAGAATTAGAACTGTAGCTTCTCAGATGACCGAGATATGAAGCATAACGAGTTTATTCATTACGTGTGATCAGGTGATTGGTTTACCTAATCACGTAATAAGGTGCCCCCGTTAACTACCCCGTTAAACATTATGGGAATTGTTAAGGGTGCCCAATTAAGGTGTCGTGTCACGGTGTCACATAATCACCCAGTCAATATTGTTAACGAGATACAGAAAATGCTTGATAACTTTGTCATTTCTAATCCGTTTTGCCTCATGTTTTCAGATCATATGCAACATTTGATAATCTACCGTCTCTGAAAAAATTAGGCGTTCAGCATGTTCAGAGAAAACAATATAGGTGTTTTAATATTGAATGGGCGTGGTCTAAAATATTCGAATTTTCAAATTTTGACGACGGAATCCTCGAACCAGTAAGTACAGTATGCCATCTGCAAAGCAACAGCTCTCAAATATAAAACACGGCGGAGCTATTAAGGCCAACGTATGGGTACTGACTTTTGGCCCACCCTGTAGGTTTAGGGCTTTTCAGATGATTTGGCTCCTCAACAGATACCGACGTACATAACGGTCAATATGTAGTTTAGGTTTACCTGGCCCGTAGGTTACGAATGTGCCCGAGGAGGAAAAAAAAGCAAACTTAAGAAAATTTCTCGGGAACTTAAAAGTTCACCTCAAAACGAAATCTGCACCTATGAACAGAGCGAGAAATAATAATTACTCACCAAGGTCGAAGTCACTTCCATCACTGTCAGACATCTTCTTCTGAAATGGAATAATTGGTGAGTGATATCCAATGAAGGTCTAATTCATTATTTCTCTAATCTTAATTCTTATTGAGATGGAATTACTCCCACAATTTTCCCGCATGATAGTTTACCGAGAGTGATTAATGTGAAGCCTTTAATGAAGTCCCTCTGAACAAAATAACTGTAAACTTCTAAAGGAAAAATAAAGACGTTCAAGCTGGATCGAATAATACTAATTAAAATTTTGATTTTCTATTGCCAATCCCTAACAAGTTTGCCGACAGATTACCTTAGATTTCTTGCTGGTTTGCGGGGATTCATCGTCTGAATCACTCCACGGACTTTTGGCTTTCTTAGCGGGAGCGGCTTTAGCCGCGGGTTTCTTAGCGCCCAAGGTACTGGGACCTAGCTTCTTCTTTGGGGCAGCTTTCTTCTTCAGTTCCTGATCTGAGTCTCCGGAAAGAAAATCAGTGATCTTCTTGGAGGTGGTCTTAGCAACTGGCTTCTTGGCAGGAGCTTTATTTGCGGGAGCTTTATTTGCGGGAGCTTTATTTTCGGGCGCTTTCTTAAGTGGAGGTGGGGGTGGTTTAGCTGGTGAAACTGTGTCGTCTGAAGAAGTATCAAAATTAGCTATGACGTTGTAGGTTTATAACCTACCAAGACGCGCCCCGAGCTGGACTCGTCGACGGTCTTGTATTTAAAACAAATATTTTACGAGAATCACCCGTTAACTATGACGTAAATATGTAAACTTAACGATCAGTAATTAGCAGATCGTAAACATAAGATTGTTGGAGTTTTAACAGTAAACATGTAAACGAGCTTTATAATTTGTAGCTTTGTCAGAAGTTTCAATACAGACGTCAGACATTCAGGTATTCAGGGCTAATAAAAATATGCTCTCCCAGAAGTAAAGGGGAGAAGAACATCTATTCTAGTCTATATCTTAAGTTTGAAATAAAGTATTAGCCCACGCTGTTACTAACCCAGAGAAATAGTTTCTTTTTTAACAGGTGCACTCTTATTATCGTTTAGAGAAAAGGAGTCTTCCGTGTCGTCCATAGTCGAATCTAAAATTGAGAAAAATTGTTTCAGAAATAAAATGAATAAATAAATGTAACCTCGATCCCCTCGAATCTGAAGAAAAAAGAACGTGACAAAATTTAAAAGTGTAAAATGTTAAATTGATTTACCTAAGCTAATATCAGGCTCAAGCTTGAGAGCAGCCCCGTTGGTGGCTGACTTAGCTTTCTTTGTAACTGGTCTGAAATCTTCATCAGATTCCTCGCCTGATACGCCACTGAAGTCTGATATATCATCATCCTCTTCGCTGTCTGTCTCCCATGGATTCTTCTTAGGCTTCATCGGTGAGCTCTTGCGCTTTTTCTTCATCCTATCCGCTAGAGACATAGGTTGAGGTTCACCATTTGCTTCCTTCTTTTCTTTCTTCACTGCTGGTGCTTTTGGTGCTTTCGGTTCAGTGGGTTCTTTCTTGACTTTAGGCTCTCGTTTCACTTTCACTGTTTCAATAGGTACCTTAAATCTGACCTCTTCTCCTGAAATGTACCAGGTTATAAGTCTAAACTCGCATTAAATTTACTGCGAAATTCACTGTCAACTTATAAACAACGGGTGATTATGACCATCATATGGTAATTCCCAAACATTAAGATGATTCAAATTTAGAACATCGTCAGTTCAGTCAGAAATGTAAAATAAATTTACCCAAATCATCAGCATAGTTGTTAACGTATTTCTTTGTACTTGTCTGCTTCATCCGCTTTGCAGACTGGGCTTGCTTCTTCGCCAGGTCAATTGCATACTTCTTCAATCCCTCCTCCAGCTCCTTGATATCGTTCAACCACAGTTTTGAAACTGGAGTGTTCTTCAGTTCCTCTAACTCGGCCAATTTCTCGTCACGTTTCTTCTCAAGTGCATTCTTTCGCTCTAGAGTCAGAGTTCTGATGGACATGTCGATCAGGTAGTCGTAGTTAGGGTCGCCTGGTTGAGAGAGGTTTTCTTCTGGACTCTCCTCTTCGGAGTTCTCCTCTTCATCACCTTCCACTGGTACTTCCTCGGGGTTCGAGTTCATGAGCTTATCGTGGGCAGTTTGCCATTTCTTCATCGGGTCGCTGTCAAACCCTCGCTTTAACAAAACAGCAATCAGGTCTCTGTGCTTTACGTTCTCAACTTTGATTTTACCCTCTATTTTTTCGACGATGAACCTCGCTTTGTTTAGAAGTTGGTTAGCTTCGGCCTCGAATTTCCCGACCAGGAAATCTTTCCTTTTAACATAAATTGCCAACCTGAAATGAAATTACAGTATTACAAACATGTATTACAGAAAATGCAGTTTGTTAATCGGGTACCTGCAAATAACAGCTTAACCTACTAAAACTAAAAGTTGCATGTTTGACCATAACCCCAGCTTTCTTTCAGTAAAAGCAGTGGAACACTTTATCTAAGATATTTTCAATAGGTAATAGGTATACTAATGTGAACGAAAAAGATTACCGGGGACAAGACTTGAACTTGCATTCCTTGCGGCGCCTGACCCTTAATCAGATGCGTCTACCAATTCCGCCACCCCGGGGAAGTTTTGGATACTATCTAGATCCTTATATTATATATACCCCAGGTCTCAGGTTTAGTGAAGATAATTGGATTTTCTATCTTGTTAACGATCAATAATCCCAGGTTGAGATGCTGTCTATATCTTCCCGAGATGTTAGTATGGGAGTGAGTTTTGGGGTGAGTTTATCTTTTTAACGAAAAGATCCTGACATCATCTCCTCTTATTACCAATAACAGAGTTTATCAAAGGATGCCATCATCGATATCGAGGCAAGATATAACTAGATATCAAACGAAATATTAATATAGCTTTAAACGGATCAAGTCGTCATAGTTTAATTATGTCAAGATATCATCGTTAACAATTCTGATTAAGGGTCAGACGCCGCAAGGTGTGCAAGTTCAAGTCTTGACCCCGGTAATCTTTTTCGTTCACATTAGTATACCTATTACCTATTGAAAATATCTTAGATATAGAACTTCTGTCGTGTTCACTAAATCACAAATTTGAACCTTCAGAAGTTCCGGTGTAAAACAGTTTAAAATATAACCTGGCTGGATAGAAGTCTTCCATGACCTCTTTAGGAGATTCGTACTTTCTTAAAACACCGTGCTGATCGTGCATGACCATGTTGGTCAGATTAATGGCCGATGTCAACTTTAGTTTGGTGTGAATTCCTTCTCTCTCCCATTTGTTGATGTCACTTGGTTCCGCTGTTAATAGCAGGATATCAATTTATTGTGCCCTGCAATCGGTCAGAACAAAGTGTGCTTAGAAGTACTCCGTTTTCACGAGTATGTGTCAGCATCAATTACAAGATCTCGGCACTAAGTGTAAACAAGTGTGTAACATTACAAGTTACCTGTAATGTTGAACTTAACAATCTCATCCGTGTTATCATCCGAATAATCCTTGAAAATCGGCTGAAGCTTCTCGTTCCCCTCCGCAAACAGCATCATGTGCTTCTCTATATAATTCTGAGTCCAAGTCCCAACAGGCAGTTCAAGGATCTGGAATTTGGAGTTAGCTGTCCTCATTATCTTACCCACGCTCAGATACTTCTGCTCGTCTACTTTCACCATTTGACCGGTATGATTCCGGTATGAAGGATACATCTCCTGGTACTCCTGTCCCTTGATGAGCCGCTTGGTGTTCTCGATGATTTCCTTGACGGAGAAGTTGGGGATGAAGGTGGAGTAGCCAGTACCGATACCTTGACCACCGTTTACTAGACACATGGGGATTATAGGGGCGTACCTGGAACAAAGTTAGTTTGAGAAATGAGAATAGTGTGGGAGTAGTATAGAAATATAAAATCAATATTATTCTTGTTAATTTTGTTTTTATGTAATATTGAAATTCACAAGCTTAATCATTCATACGTCTGCTACCTTCAGGTCCGATAGTAATACTATAAGCAGGAGCATAAAATCTGAGGCAGAAATAAAAAAAGGGATTGATAAGACTAACGGAAAACAACCTACCAGACAGGTTCCACCTTCTTGTTATCATCCCAGATGGACTGGAGGATGTTGTCATCTACTGTGGGGAAGCAGAGCCGCGCAAGGGGAGATAAGCACGTAAAGATGTAACGAGGGGCCGCGCTATCGCTACCTCCACTTAGTCGCGTACCAAACTGCCCTGGAATAGTTTATTATTATGTACGGACTAATAAAGTTACAAACATGTTAAACTGCAACATTCTGACCAATATACTCAACATCTGTAGGACAGCAGTTTTGACAATATTACTTTATGGAAACTTGAGACGTATACAATGTATACGTCTCAAGTTTCCATAAAGTAATATTGTATACAATATTTCAATTATTATATAATATATGTATACTATACATTATCAAACTAAACTTCAACCATCGGGTAAACGGTCAACGGAGTAAAGAAAAACCAGTAATATTGAACTAAAATCATTTCATAAGATTTTTGTTTAAAATCAAACGTACCATTTGGTTCGAGAAGGTTGAGATTGTTAGAGCCCACAAAGTTTTGAGCGAGGTTGACAATAGTGCCAGCAAGACTCTGTTCACCGTGATGGTACCCTGATATTTCAGAGGCACTTCCTACCAACTGCGCTACTTTTATCTCCTTCTTGAGATTCCTGAAACACAAAACATTGTTAGAAAGATTCACTGTCATCACAATTCACAGCAACCAACAATGTCTGACATGGTACCGCGACAATTGACCCCCGACAATTGACCCCCTATGTAATTACACTGGGGTCAATTGTCGCGAAATCTAGAGCTTAGTACGACAATTGACCTATAATCTTGAGATATCAATAAAACTCACCTCTTAAAGCAGGTAAACATGACCTTCCTCTGGGCAGGTTTAAATCCGTCCATAATACAGGGAATACTGCGCTCGTTGTCATAGTTACTGAAGAGAATCAACTCTCTGTCAATGAACTCTGTGTAGGTTACAGCAGTTTGAGTTTTGTGGTAGAGATACAGTTCACTCTCACCTAGGAATTAGTATATTAGTTGGTAGTTGGAAGGGTTCTGGGTAGTATGCTAGTTGTCTAGTTACTTAGTGGGTTGAACTATATCAGCTTCTGATAAGTTATTTGCAACTAGGTTAATCATTAAGTTAATAGTTAAGTTAGTGTATTGGTTGGTAGCAACGTGATTAAGTTAACAACTAAGTCAGTAACTTGGTTACTAATTGTGTTAGTAACTAGGCTAGTAACCATGCTGGTAACTAGAGTTACTAACTAAGAAACTCACCAGCTGCTCTCCGCTCTCTCCTCTCCAACATTCCCTGAGTAAGCCAATCCTTACGAGCTTCAACCTGCTTCTTAGTAAAAGCCATCTGAATCTTCTGATCGTCTTCCATTCCAACATACCTGACGGGAGAGAATATTTGCAGTCATTTTCAGATTAAACGAGTCTTATCTAGTGAGTAAAATCTTTAAATCAAATACTTAAACCTGAGATTCTATGATGGAACCTTTAAAATGAATAGCTTAAATGGAAGCATTAAACCAAGTTTTGTGAAACTTGGTTTCGAGATAACAGTTGACCAACAAACTAGGACCGGTGACCGAACTTTTGAGGGGGTCCCGGACCCCAACCGCCAAACGGTGCCCGCGGGGCAGCCAAGCCCATATTTGGTCCAAATTAGGCCCAATTTAACCAAATACTTCAATATTTTTACATGAAATTTTCAGAATCAACGTAGAATTGCATTTGGCGGCCAAATTCCAAAATTTGCAATGCAAAAAGGCCTAACTCAAAATTCTGTCCAAAACTTAAGGTTGAAATGCCATTCTACGTTGATTATGAAAATTTCATGAAAAAATATTGAAACCCTATTGAGTTCTATTGTTTTGAGCGAAATCAGATTTGCAAATATCGTGAACTGAGATATCGGCGATTTTATTCATTTTTTTGCGATTATTTGAACACAGAATCCACAGTTAGGTAGATACTGAGCTGATAATCATAAATAATGTGTAGTATAGGCTTACCTTCTATATAAAGTTGGTTTCATTCAAAAATATTGATATTTGACCAATTTATGGGCCAAAATCGATCAAATTTGGTGCGTATGCCCAAATATGGTCATATGGTTTTTGGCTCATAACTCAGTCATTTTTTGTCCAATCTTGACGAAAATTCATATACGAGTTCAGGGGACCACTAGCTACAAGTAGAGCACCTAAAATCTGGATTTTGGGCATGTTCAGGGTATTTGGCTGAATTGGGCCTAATTTGGACCAAATATGGGCGTGGCTGCCCCGCGGGCACCGTTTGGCGGTTGGGGTCTGGGACCCCCTCAAAAGTTCGGTCACCGGTCCTAGTTTGTTAGTCAACTGCTATCTCGAAACCAAGTTTCACAAAAAAAATCCCCCCCCCCCCCCATTAAACTAGACATAGGCAAGAGTACTGCAGCAGGTCACAAATTACCTGAATCTTATCTTATGTCTACCCATATCAGAAAAGTATTCTTTCGCTTCAGGACCAGTTGAAGTTCCGAGACCTGGATTGAAAGAAGATAAAGAAAATATTTGTCAGTTCCAAATTTTCCAAGAATTCTCTGAAGAGTAGCGATTCGTGGTTTTAAATAATAATGATAATTTGCATCTTTCTGTAAAGATGAAAAATAAAAACCTTTGTAGTATTTAATGTTCCACTGTTTGATATTAGTCTGTTCATCTTTCCATTCTTTGAATTCGGGCAGGGAGTAGAATGAATGAGTGGGTTTGCCTGAAACATTTCCGATTACAAATCTGATATCTTAATTTATACCATTTCCAGTCGCCAAGGAAAATTGTGATTTCAAAAACACCCAAGCAGGACAACGCAGCGAATAAACACTTTGAGACGACCCGGGAAGATAGTTGCTATGAATAGAATATTAGGAAACTAAACAGCTATATTTTACTAAATTGCAAGTTACCTTTACAAGACGCCCTAATGATGGGAGTGATGAACTGAGTAATAAAGTTCATCTTCAGCAGACTGGGCCAGTTGTGGTGAACAAAGTTAATTATTAGACCCTTGATGTGGGAACCGTCCTGCCAAGTTCATTTTGTTACTTTTTCTAAGAATTGGTGATGAGCTTTCGGTAGTTTTTAAGTCAGTAAATATGTAGCTAAGTCAGTTAAGCTGTAACTATAGATAACAGACAATAGATATTACGCTTAAGATCAAGCTAGATTTGTCTATAAATTCAAACGCTTATTCAAATTCGCTTTAGAAGAAGAAAATTAATATAGCATCGTTTTGCTGATTAAATAAAATCTGCACGTCATCTTACCACATCCTGATCCGCCATAATCATGATCTTGCCGTATCTCATAGTAGCGATATCAGCAGATGTTTCGTATTTCTTTCCGTACTTCAGTCCCAGTATCTTCACCATACTTGTTAGCTCCGCGTTCTCCATTATCTGAAAGGGAAGAGAGTGTTCAACTGAGGAGGTGAGGTTGCCTGGGTGGGTGCAGGGTGATTTTATTTTGCGGTGCACGTTTCTGAGGATACGACAATATGATATCAACTAATATAAAAACAAGTTCACCTGCCACGGGTTATTTACTGCACGAGCGAGCATAATTTAGGGGTTATATCAGAAACAGAGAAACCAATAAGTGGACAAGTCACTAGTCCCCATTCCTTGGAGGGCTACAATTCGTTTTGAGAATCACATTTAATAACAGTCCATGTTTTATATTTTACCCGTCCAATGCTGTACAACGACAGTAGAGCTGATTTAATGTAAGTTTAAATACTGTTGAGACTTTATTTCAGGCTTCTTATTCAGACCTTTTTATCTTTGATAGTTTTGCGCAACATAACTACATATATAAGATATTTTATCCCAAATAAATGAATAAAGACACGTGATTTAATTTCTCGAACATATTATCACACCAAATCATTAGCATCCTTACAGATGAGCTGTAGGAACGCTTTGCTCTGAATACCATGTTCGGTTAAATATATAATGCCTGCAATTATCAGCAATTTCTTAACGACCCGCCATTACCAGTAACCTCACTGACCGGTGACCAGTCTCACAACTATGGCGGGTCAGATAAAAGGAGTAAAACACCATAATCAGCACCTTGTTTTCCTACACATTATGTGACTTCATATCTTGAGAGGATTCGAGGAGTCCTTACTAGTTGCGTTTACGTCTTGGGCGGCTTTGGTTCTCGCCAGAAGACATTTAACCGTACTATCAGAGTAGCACTGTATTACACACCATTATAACATGATACTTCCTCTCCTGCCATTACATACTTGTCTCGTAGATTAGTTATTAACATTTACGTTTCTTAAAGATGTTTGATATGTGAAGTTCAATACGCGGTAAAAGTCGCTAACTCTTCAGAATGGAGACACATATGATGGAGAGTGAGACGCCTATAATGATGGAGACACCCATGATCTACGATTACCCAAATCCATTTAAAATGGGCCTCTGGATCAGCTCCAGCGTCTGCATCCCCAGCTACATTTCCCTAATATTATTCAGCACAACAATCCTCCACATTACCAGCCAACACTTCAGGAAACTCTCCGACCTTTACCTCTCAGTTATCTTCTACCTGGTCTGCCAACTCCTCCTCCTCCTCGTCATTACCTCTTCCTGGTTGCTGGAGATAGTCCGACAGGGGGAGTCTGAACGGAGATGTGCGGTAAAACTGGTGTTTCAAACGTTCGCGATGGTTCTGCCAGGGTATTGTATCCTGATCATCACTGTTGTGAGGAGTATCTTTGTGACGGTACCGCTAAGTTACATGCACTACCTGAAGATGCGTAACCAGGTGATAGGACTGGTGATATCCGTGGTGATAGCTGGTCTTATAGCTTGTTTACCCAGTATAGGAGTGTGTGGGACCAGGATGAGGTCCACTTATAAGTACGAGTATTGCAGCTACGGAGATCTGAAGACACCCTCTTGTAGGGTGTTTAGCGGGGTTCTCCTCTGTGTTGGGTTCGGTGTTCCCATCATGGGAACTGTGGGGCTCTACGTCTACATTTACCAGATAGCAGTGCGGGCCAGGAAGTCTCACAGACGCCTCACCGAGTCATGTCTCACCTCCACCTCAGAGATCAAGACAGAGAAGTCTGGAAATCACACGGAGGCAACAGAGAGATCAACCATCCCCTGGTCCATCCTAGTCACACTCCTGATCACTGTAACTACCACTCTCCCCTGGGCCTTTGTGATGTTGTACAGCACGGAGCTGACAGAGAGTTTAGAACAGAACAACAGTCTGACCCTGGTGTTTGATTTGTTCTACGCTACTCTGCAGGTTGTGGTGGGGATATCCCCGCTAGCTTACATCCTCACTACCAACTCTATCAGAGTGGTATTTGTTGGACTCGTTAGGAAGGGGTTGTGTGGAAGGTGTCTAGGCGAGAGAAACTTTTGAGATGATGATATTGGGTCTTTTAGTGTTTTAGTGTTTATTTGATAATGGCCCTATGTGAAATTCATAAAATAAGTGAGTGTCTGATAATTTCGATTTCAATAGTTTTTCTTTCAGTTTCATGGCCGTAAATTGTGTTTATAAACTTTTAATAGTTATTGGTACATATCATCTTTTTTTTTCACTCATGATTTGGTCTAATATTTGTTTGTTGTCCGGACGGTGCCGGTAGTTCTAATGACAAATTTACAAATAAAGTTATATACAAATAATATTTTAATTAAAGAACTGCACCCCAATTTCAGTAGTCTGACAACGTGATAAATCAAAAAAAAGTTCGCTGCCTGCATGTCAAAATCAATTTTAAATCTCAAAGACTTTTAGTCTTGCACGGAAAATAAAATGTGAACAAAAAAATTGAATTAATAAATTAATTATCAGATAAATAAATAAATTAATGAATTAAGTAACCCTCCGACAAACCTGTTTGTGAGAAGCCTCCCTAACGTTAAGGAGTTTGCCCCGGAGTGGAAAGACACCGAACTTGTCCTTACCAATCACACCTAACCCGGCAATTGCTAGGGTTTTAGCTGAATCTCCCTCGGTTAGGATCAATGTACAGTCCTGGTAAACAGAAAATGTCAAAAATCTGTTAAAATTATAACTGAAATATTTGCTAATGTATATAATATTTAAAAGATTCGAAAAGTTGCAATTCTAATTATATCATACAATGTTGTAATTATCTGCATTCTGCAATACAACTAGATTATGTATAACAGCACACCATTTCTTAATTTCAAGAAAGAAAACAAGCAACTGACAGGATCAGAAATCCTATCTCTTAAAACAGTGTACCTTACTACGAGCAGTACCAGCATCCTTAGCGTCCGACAGTTTAGCCTCCCCTTTTATCTTGGAGCCCTTCTTCCCCGCTGATTTCTGCTGGAGTTGCCTCTGAGATTTTGTAGTAGCCCAGTCCATGACATAGTCTAACACGCCTGTTTTTAAGATGTCCTTCATGAACCTGTCCGAGGGTTCGCAGGTCGAACCGAATTTATCTGGGAGGGTTTCAGATCTTACAAATCTGAATAGCTCTCTCCACTCAGCCGTTATTCACGGCTTATGTTCATATTTTCGTGTGTAAGATTATTTAATTTTCATTGAAATTAAATTCAATAGCCACGGGATATTTTAAGTATCATATATTTCATACAGTCTTTCTTCAGATTTGAACACTGTAATACGATAATAGCAAAAGCTAACTTTACATAATATCGCCACTTAGATAGTCTACTACTCATACTACTTACTAGTTCTTAAGTGGCTCTAGATCAGCGCGCTCTATAACTAATCATTGTATTTTATTGCATTACTTCCTTCGACACGTTTGTGTGACTGTTTAGTTGCTGTTTTTAGTTTAGTGTCGTTTGGAGAGTAAAAAACATTTGAATTCGTGTTTTTATAGTGTCGACAAAACTCTGACGAAATAATGTAGTTAAAGGTTTTTTAGATCGACCAGCGATAACTGATACGCGGTTTAATTGTTGTGACAGTGGAGTCCCGGGTGTGGTCTATATTTCAACTATATTTCAAATAAAGTAAATAACATGTCATGCAGTTATAGAATATGTCCAGAAGATTATGTCTGGAAGAAAGCAACAACCCAAGTTCGCCCAAGAACATCGCTGAAGAAGCCACGCTAGATTCGGACAAGACGACCACGTCAGAGAAACAGCCTGTGGATATTGATCTAGGAAGTAGAGCTGATATTGTATATTGATGAAATCATGATATTTTTAACGTACTGTGTTTATTTTACCCACATCTGTATGATCTACATACCTTTCGGAAATTATTGGTTCAAGTTTCCATATAAAGATTTGGAGACAGATAAAGGGCCGGATGAAAACCAATTCACTGTCATCTCTCCTAGTTATATTCTACGCTTTGTCCCAGATTTTTTACATGCCTGGATTCCTTTGACAGAGAATAACAACTTAGGAATTCTCACTATTATAGGGGGGGGGGGGGTCAACCTCATTTTACCTCATTTTACCTCATCCCAATTTTGCCTTTTTTGGCTGGCCTCATGAGGTAAAATGAGGTAAATCTCGGCACAAATTTTTAACAGGTAAAATTCTCTAAATCGTCAATTTAGTCACGAAGGAGTATGGAAGGAGATCTAAATGTGTGCTCCTCTAATATAAACAGTAGGAAATGGTTAACTTTATTCGAGGTCTCAAGTCTCTACAATGTCGGGAAGTTCCTGCAGGAATTTGCGTATTGCTCTTGAAGCGCAAGATTCACAGCGCCAAAAGCGAAGGTCGTAGAGACATGAGACCTTGACTAAAGTTAACCATTTCATACCATTGCTATGAGAGTATGCCACTTTCAGAGTCCTGAACACACTCCCATATCTCTTAATCGTCAATTATATGAATTTTACCTGTTAAAATATATCATCTTTAACTGATATAAATTTAGTTTAACACTGTTAGTTTAAAAAAAGAAAATAATACTTCACACCAAACTAACACACAATATGAGAATATAAAAAGGAAGGTTTTCTTGGAGACCTGGACCGAGCATCAAAATAGTGTACATTGCTGCTGTCATTGTCAAGACTCAAGAATAAGAGAGTCTAGTTGTGGGATTATGCTGGATAACAGATATGATAAGTGGTAACATCCTGCAAAAGAATGTTAGCTTACTAAGGAATTTTCCTGTTACTGAATCATACAAGAAGTTAACTAAGTTCCTCCTAGTCCTAAGCATTATCTTGTTTCAGAGGGAATGAGTGATTTAAAAAGATGAGGCCAAAGAGTTAGTTGTAAAGAAGGCATTTGTACTCTGTAATTTCTAAGCTAATTTTTTTCGATATTTATAGCTATTTACTGATATTGTCTTGACGTATCAGCAAAAGATCACTGGACCTCGTTAGTTGTTAGTCATGTTATGCTGATCCAGTTAGTGACGAGCTATGAAGTAATCATTCGACCTCATTTAATACTGATCCTTTCAATGACGAGCTATGAAGTAATCAGTGGATCTCGTCAATGCTCATCCTGTCCGGACTGTCAGTGACGAGTTATGAAGAAATAAATGGCAAGTTGGTCGTTTAGCTCCGGACAGTCTATGCACGGTCCCTGCACGGTCCATACAACAACAAGAGAACACTCCATGCACAGTCTCTGCACGGTCAGTCCCTGCACACTCCCTGCGGCTACTAACCGGTCACTAGCCGGCTATTAGCTTGGCTCTAAAGTAGACCTACGTAGTAGGTCTGCTTAGTAGGTTAGTAGCCGGTAGGTCTGCTTTAGAGCTCAGCTAATCGCCGGCTAGTGACCGCCTAGTAGCCGGTTAGTAGCCACTTTGTGGTCACTAGCCGGCTAGTAGTGACCACTTTTTAAGTGCCGGTTAGTAGCCGGTTTGGTAATGTGAAGTTGAGGAGCTGTTGTTACAAAAGTGGCTACTAGCCGGCTAGTGTTCATATGTTACTGTGCAGGGACCGTGCAGGGACCGTGCATATACCGTGCAGGGAGTGTGCAGGGACTGACCGTGCAGGGACCGTGCATCAAGTGTTCATTGTGCAGGAACCGTGCATGGAGTGTTCTCTTGTTGTTGCATGGACCGTGCAGGGACCGTGCATAGACTGTCCGGAGCTAAACGACCAACTTCCCAAATAAATGAAGACCTCATTAATTCCCTTGTTCCAAGAAGATATTCCTCTGGTAACAACCCCTTCTGGCCTGCTTCTGAACATAATATGAAGATGCGAAAACCTAGTCTACCTAAATTGGAACTTGCTGACTGCATTGGAAAATGGATTACAATCGAGAAATGATAATCAGTGCCAGGATATTATAATCAAAGTTGAATTTGGAATCCAAGGAAAACCTTCCTTTTTTATATTACCATATTGTGCGTTAGTTTGGTGTGAAGTATTATGTTCTTTTTTAAAACTAACAGTGTTAAACTAAATTGATATCAGTTAAAGATGATATATTTTAACAGGTAAAATTCATATAATTGACGATTAAGAGATATAATGGGAGTGTGTTCAGGACTCTGAAAGTGGCATACTCTCATAGCAATGGTATGAAATGGTTAACTTTAGTCAAGGTCTCATGTCTCTACGACCTTCGCTTTTAGCGCTGTGGATCTTGCGCTTCAGCGCAATGCAAAAATTCCTGCAGGAACTTCCCGACATTGTAGAGACCTGAAACCTCGACTAAAGTTAACCATTTGCTACTGTTTATATTAGAGGAGCACACATTTAGATCTCCTTCCATACTCCTTCGTGACTAAATTGACGATTTAGACAATTTTACCTGTTAAAAATTGGTGAAAAATATGGGCGTGGCCCAAGTCAGTATTATACGAAACCGTAGAGACACAAACATTTTTTTGGTTGTTCCTGACCCTATGGAGCAACTAATTGGAGGTGATATCTAATTATTTGAACGAAAAGTGGTTTTGTGAACCGCCCTATATTCTACAGCGAATCATGAACATTGAACATGTACATAAGAACTTAGAATTGTATGAAGTATGAGTTTATATGAGAAATTTATTATGAAATGACCTTTCACTATGCAATTTCGACTAAATTCATGTAGATATCCAATCCAGTTCCATGCACAACTGTTGTTTACATTTGGTCTAGTTAGACACAATTTGTTTCAGAGTGACTCGATAATCGCAATATCAAATTAAGATATTATTTAAATGGTCCATGTCATGCAATGCGGAAATATCCCCATAAATTGGCAACTGCCAAAGTGACAATAAAGTTATTGCTAATTCCTTTACAAAACTTAGCAAGTGCTATAAACAATATCCTAATGGATCATGGAAATTGAAATGTTCAATTTTCTTTTCATAAATAATAATTATAATGCGAAGTTTTATTTACCCCAAGTTTGGAGAGTAAGTAGGTTAAACTGGGAATGCCTCTTCCCAGGGACCACATCACCCCTAATAAACCATTAAATATCATGGGAGACCATGCACAGCCTCGAATTATAGTATAATGACTTCGAATAAACCTTTTTTGTCTCTAAAAAAAGGCTTAGAAAACTAGATTTATTTACCTCATTTTACCTCATTTTACCTCATCCCAATTTTGCCTTTTTTGGCTGGCCTCATGAGGTAAAATGAGGTTGACCCCCCCCCCCCCCCCCATTATATACTTTGGTTTGCTGCATTTATGCATACCTAAATCATGCCAATGTTCTTCTACCTATCCGGACAGAACGTGTACTCGGCTCTGCTGCGAAGAACGGAGACTCAGTTTAGAACAGAGAGGCTGCACCGTCTCCTGGTGCCCACTCTGTTCATGTCTGCAGTTCTTCAGTTCCCTTACAGCCTGGCTTTCTTCGCTCCTTCTTACTCATCCCCTTTGAGCGAGTGATCCCCTTTCCAGAATACGCTTGGGTCTTTCGATCGTTCCCTTTCTTTCCCTAGATGGCTTTTTTTGTACTTGGTTATGTAACAAGAGCAGCAGACAAACAGATAAGACAGGACGGCAAAGTTTGGTCTCGGACTTGTATCTTGATTGGGACTGTTTTGTGCGTTGTGAATGTGCTACTTTACGGTGCTCGCCAGTTCATTGCGGGATGTAGCCACTAGCCATGGGGTTCCTTCGAGGGATAGGGTCCTGGCTCTTTCTGATGGGATCTACAGCATGGACAAGGAAGACGTTCACGTTACCACAAGACTGGCACTCAAGATACAGAATGATGGCCATGCCCTTATACCTAATTCACCAACAGTTTAATGTGATGTTCGGTGCGGCTGCGATGTGGATCCCTTACCTCCGAACCTTTCCAGTCATGCTGATCATCACTTCCTTCTTCTCCATCACCAAGTCCTACCTCATCACCAAGTCCAGATCTGTCCGCTATTTCTTTGGACTGCCTGCTCTACAAGGATCGTGTCTACCGGGGAAGCAGCTGAGAGGGTTCCTACCGGTTCTAGTACTTTCCGGAATGGTGATGCTTCACATTCTGGTGTCAATTTTGTTTTCGAATTCTCAACACGGACTTTTTCAGATGGGGAACATTTTGAAAGTATTCGACGAAAAAACTTTCTACTTCTTGTTTCCAGTTCAGTGGACAATTTAATTATCAGCTAATCTTTCACGGGATCCTTAAAAATATCGACCAAAAGCGGGTTGTTCCTATATTATTACGTAATAAATTTTTGGCTAATTTGTAACCCCCTCTCCCTCCATAATCAGTATTACACATATCTAATATCTATTTTGATAAAATTTCATAAGCGTTGGAAACCCCCTTTCTCAGTGATTACGAAGTACATGTGAATGACCCCTTATCACTTAATTCAATATTTCAATTATTGGCTAATCATGAATAAAGAAATAATATAAGGAAATAATCGATTAGAATTTTTTCTCTTTTCTTGTAACGTTAAACAATTTGATCCTTGTTTGTTTAAAAAGATGTTAGGACTCATCTTTTATGTTCTCCTGATAAAAAATGTGTTAGCGAAAAGCGTGGTCGACGAAAGAGTTCCTCTTATCATCTTTGGTGTAGATGGCTACTCCCACCAACATTATCTACAGTATGGTAATAAAACTTCGGGAGATTCCAACATATTCCCTATTCAACCAGTTTTCCCTACAAAAACCTTTCCTAACTTCATGTCAATAGCCACGGGTCTGTACCCCACCCAGCATGGAATTGTCAACAACGGGTTTTACAACCAAAAAAGGAACCTCAAGTTTCGGTACGAGGATAATCAAAACGAGGACTTTGATTGGTTCAAAGGAGAACCGATTTGGGTCACTGCCAAAAAAGCTGGTTTAAGGTCTTACATCGACACGTGGGTAGGATCGGGCGCTGACTACGGCGGACTAATCCCGGACATAGAGTTCGGGTATCGTGTTCATACTTTTGAGCAGACAGTTCAGGGACTGGTTGAGAACATGGATGGAGATTACAGGACGAGGTGTGATTTGTACATGTTATACTCGAACGAACCGGATCACTCGCTCCACAGGAATGATAACACTGATAATGAAACTGTTCAGGAGATAATAGACCTTGCGGAGAGAAGGATCAGTCTACTGAAATCAGCATTAGGCAACAGGAAGTACAACCTGATTATAACATCTGATCATGGGATGACTAGCCACAAACGGAGATACCAACTTCCAAAGTTGATCAGAGACAAAGCTAAGTTGTTTTACCAAGGGGAAGTTCCTTGGTGGTACTCGAAACAAAACAGAAGTGTAGCCGAGGACGTTAGAGATTTGAACCGGTTCCTGCAAAGTAGTGGGATGACTGGTTTATCGGCTGTTGAAACGGCTGCTCTTGACAACAGGTTTCAGATGTGTGGGTTGGAGGAAGAGGGATTACCGGATATTATCTTTATTGGGGATGATGGTGTGGTGATATCATCCTGGGACTATCTTGCTGGCGGCCACGGATATGACAACACATTCCCCAAAATGTACGCTCACGCGAGGGTGTCTGGTCCGGGGTTTAGAGAGGTGCCTGGAGTTGAAGACAGACCTCTTAAGATGAACACGGAGCTTTACAATCTGTTCTGTTCTCTGCTCGGCATCAAGCCGGCTAACAACACTGGAGATTTATACACATTTGATTCCCTCCTCTCCAATCCACCTGACAGGACTGAATGGGAGGCATCCTATTCACAGGTTCAAGCGCCCTGTGATCAACCATTACCAACCTAACTGTCATCAAGGATCAAGTTTATACAACTATTATTATATATAATATATATATATTACTTGGGATTACCAAATGGAATGTTCAATTAAGATTTTAATAACACATTTTAAATTAATAAAGGGTTCAATTTGTAATGACGTTTTGTAAAGAAGTTTTTTTAAATAGGGTTCTTGTTTGAATGTCGTATAATTGTCTAATTTGATTTTTATTATCATCGATCAAACGTTGTTATTATTTTGTACCTTTAAACTGCCAGGTCCCACTACCGTGGAATCTTTTCTCCTAATAAGAATAAATCGGTGCTTACTTTTTTTGAGGGTCATGTTCTCCTTAGTCTGAGAGTCGAAAGCCGGGTTCTCCACAAGAGAGTTAATAAAGAGAAACACGTGTTGTTTAACCTGAGCAGGCTTTATCTCCACCCCACCTTTAGGTACCTGGAACAAGAACTGTCAGATATTCGGTCATAGTTCCTCCTTCAGTCATAGTTCCTACTTCAGTCATAGTTCCTACTTCTGTCATAGTTCCTACTTCAGTCATAGTTCCTATTTCTGTCATAGTTCCTACTTCTGTCATAGTTCCTACTTCAGTCATAGTTCCTACTTCAGTCATAGTTCCTACTTCAGTCATAGTTCCTACTTCAGTCATAGTTCCTACTTCAGTCATAGTTCCTACTTCAGTCATAGTTCCTACTTCTGTCATAGTTCCTACTTCAGTCATAGTTCCTACTTCTGTCATAGTTCCTACTTCAGTCATAGTTCCTACTTCAGTCATAGTTCCTACTTCAGTCATAGTTCCTACTTCAGTCATAGTTCCTACTTCTGTCATAGTTCCTACTTCTGTCATAGTTCCTACTTCAGTCAGAGTTCCTACTTCAGTCATAGTTCCTACTTATGTCATAGTTCCTACTTCAGTCATAGTTCCTACTTCTGTCATAGTTCCTACTTCAGTCATAGTTCCTACTTCTGTCATAGTTCCTACTTCAGTCGTAGTTCCTACTTCTGAACTTATGAAGAGTGAGTGGAATCTCGGTGACATTCTGTGGTCAAAAATTAAATTCATGGTCGAATAAATGAGCGCATCACCACGAACTGCAGTCGTAGTAAACGATGTAAAATTTGAACGGTAAACATCAAAAACTGGACCTTCTTCTGGCAAGCAGCCAGGATTTTAGTGACGACTTGTTGAGAAACGTAGTCGACGTGGGTGCCACCCTTGGTGGTTGCAATGGAGTTGACGAAGGAGACTTGTTGGAACCCTTTTTGACTTGTACCCAGTGCAATCTGAGATATTTCAAATTATTATTTCCTCGAAAGTATTTTTTTCTCCCCGCAGCCAGACGAACAGATTATAGTGTTAGAAATTTAAGGAAGATGTAGGGAAGATGTGGGGAAGATTTAGGGAGGATGTAGGGAATATGTAGGGAATATGTAGGGAAGATGTAGGGGAGATGTAGCGAGAGTAGGATAAAAATAACTAACCTCCCACCGAGGGTTGACTTTCTCGTACACTAGACTCAATTTCTTATTCTCTTCGTCCGCCTCGTCAGTCTTGCTCGCGTTTATGTACAAGTTACAATAGTCCCTGAATGTCTTGATAGGAAGCTTCTCCCCGTTCAATTCAACCTTTGAGATTGTAGAATTAGTTAAGCGTTTGCGTGGACAGCTTTTGCTCTTTTGCGAAGGTTTAATTAACGAATAACGTTAGCTAATAATACTAAAAAGAGGAAAAGTGAAGTCGATTTAAGCTAACATAATTATCATCTGACGATTTAGTTATCAGTCTCATTTAACATTCAAACTAACTAACAAAACCAGCCGTGAACCCACCGTGACACCAGGGCTAGTAGCAGCAATGTCGTAAGCTCTACGTTTCATCAGGGCCACTGTGTCCCGCTCAAGCATGGTCATACCAAACTTCGCCAAATCAGGATAAAACGTTATCTGAGGGAATAAAGTGATAATTACTTTGGGTTTACTTATGACTTAGAAATCTGCCATTCATTGACACCTGGGACTAAGTTAAGACTGTGACTTACTAAGTCAAGTTTTGTATAATCTGCCATTTAGGTAAACTTCTCTCCCCTGCACCCCCAAATGTTGCTCATTCTCACCCTTGTAAAGTCGGTAGCTTTATTGGTGGCTGTGGTGATTTTACCAGCTTTACTCATATTATCCTTCCACTCTTGTTTAAAATACCTGAAGTCCGGTTCGAATAATTAAATTGTATTCAATGATAATAATCATACTCGATACTTTGCAAATGTCTAATAATAATGTTGATAATAATTAAAAACTTGATGTTCAAAATACAACAAGGTTATAAAATAACTTACTTTCCACTACTTTTACTAGATGTTTCTACCAGAAAGCTCTTACTGAAAACGTTACACAGTTTAGCTCCAAAACCGTTCCTTCCGCCAGTCACCTGAAGGTTAATTAAACTGATAAGAGTTAATGAGAGACACATAAATTCGGGTTTAGAGCTTCTTCACTTGTTACCTTAAATAATGGATATTTGTTTTCTAATTTTGTAAACCCTTATTTATTCTGTCTTATTTAGGTTCAAATATTCTTAAGAAACTTTCAGTACGAGAGTTCTAAAACATATCCTTTGAGTTTAAAGTTACCGGATTAGCCGCGGGTGTTGACATGTCTGATCTAAATCAGAGCCAGTTTTACGATTAATTTACCTTCTTCTGAGAATCGTCGTAGTTCGACGAGGTGAGAAGATGTCCAAATATTAAGGTTGGTACAAACATTTCGTGCTCCTTGTGCATTTCAACCGGGATTCCTTTGCCGTCATTCATAATACAGATCTTGCCATCTTCCCTGTAAAGATTTTCGAGTTAAGTCAGATACTTGTTTAAATCATTGTTATGACAACTGTTTTTGTTGTCGCGGCTACCGGATAACTGTTAAATAATTCTATCCAAGAATCAAGAATGGAAGCTAAATAAGTAAGAAGTAAGTAATGAGAAACTTACGGTGATATGTCAATCTTGATCCGCTTCATATTAGGGTCTCTCTGTTTGTTGTCAGACGCATTGACAAGAATCTCATCAAATATCTTGTAGAGTCCAGGGACGTAGCTTACATCACGAAAGTTAAAACCGATACCCTCATCGTAGACCCACATTTGCTGTGAATTAGTTATTTTAATTATATAATATGCTTTTGGCATATTATATAATTAGGCAGCTGGCAGAAGTGACTACTAGACATCCATTATCCCAGTATCCTTACTAACTATTGAAATTATGTGAATTTGAAATTAAAAAATTATTCAAACAATATACACATAATATAACAATTACCCTATATAAAATTCAATAGAAATTCAATAGAAAACCCTTGAACACCCTTTAAGTAGTATAAGTAAGCCAGTTTAAAGAACTGGCTCCAAATTTATATCTAATTCTGCTATTTTTACTGCACTACTACTACAAATGTGAATTTGAAACGAACCTGATTGTAAGACTCAGAGGACCCAATATAAGTGTCCGGTCTCAGCAAAATGTGTTCCAGCTGGGTTTTCTTCTGATATATACGCTCGATGCTCATGCGTTTGTTCCCGGGTTTGGCCTTGCCCTTGGGAGCCGCCGAAGCTGCTTCATCAGATGACGACATTGCTCGAACTTCCGCCTGGATTTTGTTACAGTTTACAAATATATTACACTGAAGATATCTCGGAGAATGTTTCAACATGTTAGGCAATCAAGGATCCAACAAGTTTACAAGCAAAACTAATGAGTAGTACGTTGTAGGGTACCTTGAAAGGTTTGAAATGAAATCCTTGTCTTGAGATTGATTTGACTCCGTTTCTACAAAAACTAACTAGCATACACCAAACTTACGAGTTTGCTAGCCCAGTAGTCGGATTTCCCCTTATCAGCTATCTGACGGAAGTAGTGGGTTAGAGGTGGACGAAAAACTTCCCGCCAGTATAATTTCTCCTTTTTTAAATTAAAAACACGCGTGGTGTAGCGCAATGTAAACTTTACTCATTCTTGATGCACGCGGCGTTCGCGCGCGGGAGACTGACATATAATGATTCCTCAAAATGGAGACATTTTCTCAATTTCAGATTTCGCCCAAAACAGCCTAAAACTGATATATCTTACAATTATTAGTTCTAATATGACAGGAAAGTGTTTTGAACCGGTGAAAAAGGATAGTGAAGGTGAAATATGCCAAAAATTTTAATTCTTAAATTCATCGAAAAACATAGTTGGGAACCGGATTTCCAAGATAAAAAGAAATTGTAACTGTGCTAATACACCAGGGAGGACATTTAAAGTTGCCACCCTGGTAGATCTGAAAGTACGTTACCAGTTATTTGGGGCCTTCAGGGGGGAAAATGGGCCGAAAAATGGGCCGAAAAGGGGCATTTTCGGGTGTTTTCAAATTTGAGATTTCAAAGCCAGATTTTCGGCTTTAATTGGCTGGGACATGCCCAAATTGGTGTGGGTGAGTTGCATAGAGGTAGTACAAGTGTGATCCGTTGCAGAAATCCGGGTTCCCAACATTCAAAATGACTTGAAAAGATTTTATAAAAAATTGGAGACATTTTGGAATCCATGGGAATTTTTTGGAGACATCCATATTTCGCCCTAAAACGTCTCCAATGAGTTTGGTTGGCACCCTGGTTGATCTGGAAGTACGTTACCAGTTATTTGGGGCCTTCAGGGGGAAAATGGGCCGAAAAATGGGCCGAAAAGGGGCATTTTCGGGTGTTTTCAAATTTGAGATTTCAAAGCCAGATTTTCGGCTTTAGTTGGCTGGGACATGCCCAAATTGGTGTGGGTGAGTTGCATAGAGGTAGTACAAGTGTGATCCGTTGCAGAAATCCGGGTTCCCAACATTCAAAATGACTTGAAAAGATTTTGTAAAAAATTGGAGACATTTTGGAATCCATGGGAATTTTTTGGAGACATCCATATTTCGCCCTAAAACGTCTCCAATGAGTTTGGTTGGCACCCTGGTTGATCTGGAAGTACGTTACCAGTTATTTGGGGCCTTCAGGGGGGAAAATGGGCCGAAAAGGGGCATTTTCGGGTGTTTTCAAATTTGAGATTTCAAAGCCAGATTTTCGGCTTTAGTTGGCTGGGACATGCCCAAATTGGTGTGGGTGAGTTGCATAGAGGTAGTACAAGTGTGATCCGTTGCAGAAATCCGGGTTCCCAACATTCAAAATGACTTGAAAAGATTTTGTAAAAAATTGGAGACATTTTGGAATCCATGGGAATTTTTTGGAGACATCCATATTTCGCCCTAAAACGTCTCCAATGAGTTTGGTTGGCACCCTGGTTGACCTGGAAGTACGTTACCAGTTATTTGGGGCCTTCAGGGGGGAAAATGGGCCGAAAAATGGGCCGAAAAGGGGCATTTTCGGGTGTTTTCAAATTTGAGATTTCAAAGCCAGATTTTCGGCTTTAATTGGCTGGGACATGCCCAAATTGGTGTGGGTGAGTTGCATAGAGGTAGTACAAGTGTGATCCGTTGCAGAAATCCGGTTTCCCAACATTCAAAATGACTTGAAAAGATTTTGTAAAAAATTGGAGACATTTTGGAATCCATGGGAATTTTTTGGAGACATCCATATTTCGCCCTAAAACGTCTCCAATGAGTTTGGTTGGCACCCTGGTTGACCTGGAAGTACGTTACCAGTTATTTGGGGCCTTCAGGGGGGAAAATGGGCCAAAAAATGGGCCGAAAAGGGGCATTTTCGGGTGTTTTCAAATTTGAGATTTCAAAGCCAGATTTTCGGCTTTAGTTGGCTGGGACATGCCCAAATTGGTGTGGGTGAGTTGCATAGAGGTAGTACAAGTGCGATCCGTTGCAGAAATCCGGGTTCCCAACATTCAAAATGACTTGAAAAGATTTTGTAAAAAATTGGAGACATTTTGGAATCCATGGGAATTTTTTGGAGACATCCATATTTCAAAGCCAGATTTTCGGCTTAAGTTGGCTTTTCCCCCCTGAAGGCCCCAAATAACTGGTAACGTACTTCCAGATCAACCAGGGTGCCAACCAAACTCATTGGAGACGTTTTAGGGCGAAATATGGATGTCTCCAAAAAATTCCCATGGATTCCAAAATGTCTCCAATTTTTTACAAAATCTTTTCAAGTCATTTTGAATGTTGGGAACCCGGATTTCTGCAACGGATCACACTTGTACTACCTCTATGCAACTCACCCACACCAATTTGGGCATGTCCCAGCCAACTAAAGCCGAAAATCTGGCTTTGAAATCTCAAATTTGAAAACACCCGAAAATGCCCCTTTTCGGCCCATTTTTCGGCCCATTTTCCCCCCTGAAGGCCCCAAATAACTGGTAACGTACTTCCAGATCAACCAGGGTGCCAACCAAACTCATTGGAGACGTTTTAGGGCGAAATATGGATGTCTCCAAAAAATTCCCATGGATTCCAAAATGTCTCCAATTTTTTACAAAATCTTTTCAAGTCATTTTGAATGTTGGGAACCCGGATTTCTGCAACGGATCACACTTGTACTACCTCTATGCAACTCACTCACACCAATTTGGGCATGTCCCAGCCAACTAAAGCCGAAAATCTGGCTTTGAAATCTCAAATTTGAAAACACCCGAAAATGCCCCTTTTCGGCCCATTTTTCGGCCCATTTTCCCCCCTGAAGGCCCCAAATAACTGGTAACGTACTTCCAGATCAACCAGGGTGCCAACCAAACTCATTGGAGACGTTTTAGGGCGAAATATGGATGTCTCCAAAAAATTCCCATGGATTCCAAAATGTCTCCAATTTTTTACAAAATCTTTTCAAGTCATTTTGAATGTTGGGAACCCGGATTTCTGCAACGGATCACACTTGTACTACCTCTATGCAACTCACCCACACCAATTTGGGCATGTCCCAGCCAACTAAAGCCGAAAATCTGGCTTTGAAATCTCAAATTTGAAAACACCCGAAAATGCCCCTTTTCGGCCCATTTTTCGGCCCATTTTCCCCCCTGAAGGCCCCAAATAACTGGTAACGTACTTCCAGATCAACCAGGGTGCCAACCAAACTCATTGGAGACGTTTTAGGGCGAAATATGGATGTCTCCAAAAAATTCCCATGGATTCCAAAATGTCTCCAATTTTTTACAAAATCTTTTCAAGTCATTTTGAATGTTGGGAACCCGGATTTCTGCAACGGATCACACTTGTACTACCTCTATGCAACTCACCCAGACCAATTTGGGCATGTCCCAGCCAACTAAAGCCGAAAATCTGGCTTTGAAATCTCAAATTTGAAAACACCCGAAAATGCCCCTTTTCGGCCCATTTTTCGGCCCATTTTCCCCCCTGAAGGCCCCAAATAACTGGTAACGTACTTCCAGATCAACCAGGGTGCCAACCAAACTCATTGGAGACGTTTTAGGGCGAAATATGGATGTCTCCAAAAAATTCCCATGGATTCCAAAATGTCTCCAATTTTTTACAAAATCTTTTCAGGTCATTTTGAATGTTGGGAACCCGGATTTCTGCAACGGATCACACTTGTACTACCTCTATGCAACTCACCCACACCAATTTGGGCATGTCCCAGCCAATTAAAGCCGAAAATCTGGCTTTGAAATCTCAAATTTGAAAACACCCGAAAATGCCCCTTTTCGGCCCATTTTTCGGCCCATTTTCCCCCCTGAAGGCCCCAAATAACTGGTAACGTACTTCCAGGTCAACCAGGGTGCCAACCAAACTCATTGGAGACGTTTTAGGGCGAAATATGGATGTCTCCAAAAAATTCCCATGGATTCCAAAATGTCTCCAATTTTTTACAAAATCTTTTCAAGTCATTTTGAATCTTGGGAACCCGGATTTCTGCAACGGATCACACTTGTACTACCTCTATGCAACTCACCCACACCAATTTGGGCATGTCCCAGCCAATTAAAGCCGAAAATCTGGCTTTGAAATCTCAAATTTGAAAACACCCGAAAATGCCCCTTTTCGGCCCATTTTTCGGCCCATTTTCCCCCCTGAAGGCCCCAAATAACTGGTAACGTACTTCCAGGTCAACCAGGGTGCCAACCAAACTCATTGGAGACGTTTTAGGGCGAAATATGGATGTCTCCAAAAAATTCCCATGGATTCCAAAATGTCTCCAATTTTTTACAAAATCTTTTCAAGTCATTTTGAATCTTGGGAACCCGGATTTCTGCAACGGATCACACTTGTACTACCTCTATGCAACTCACCCACACCAATTTGGGCATGTCCCAGCCAATTAAAGCCGAAAATCTGGCTTTGAAATCTCAAATTTGAAAACACCCGAAAATGCCCCTTTTCGGCCCATTTTTCGGCCCATTTTCCCCCCTGAAGGCCCCAAATAACTGGTAACGTACTTCCAGGTCAACCAGGGTGCCAACCAAACTCATTGGAGACGTTTTAGGGCGAATTATGGAAAACAAAATTTTGACATATTTTTTTGGCAAATATGGTTCCCCACCCCCCTTTTTGTCTTCTTTTCGCATGTGAAAGGTCTTAGTTTGTTTGAGGGACAGACCAGAACTCAGTTAAGCCATATACAGCTAATTTAAGTGCTTAAATATCAATAATACGTAATTCCCCTCTAATTCCCCTCCAATTCCCATGAAATTCCCATGGAGACAATGTCTCCAAAATGTCTCCAAATATGAGGAATCATAATATCGAGACTGATGTGTAAAATGGCCGGAGTTATGTCCAGATGTAAGATTTTAATAACTGACTGTGCCCACTATAACTAGGAGGAGTAGTAAAGAGTGGAAGATTGTATGGTCAGGAGTTCCCCAGGGATCAGTCCTTGGACCATTACTATTTGTGTTATTTATTAATGATTTACCAGATAACATTAAAAGTAAAGTTAAAATATTTGCTGATGATCTTAAGCTTATAGCTAATGCCTCCGAGCATGAAACTATAGCTAATGATCTGAACGAACTAGAGATGTGGGAGAGTAAATGGCTTTTAAAGTTTAATCCTACTAAGTGTTCAGTAATGCATTTAGATGTTAACGATAACCCAAGATCAAGTTATTCTCTTAATGGAGTTACATTGGCAGAATCTGTACAGGAAAAAGACTTGGGAGTTATAACCCATAACTCTCTGCTTTGGAATGAACAGATTAAGGCTTCAATATCTAAAGCCAACAGAATGATATGTTGGATTGTTAGAAATCTGATTATCAGGGAAAAATCTGTGATGATATCCATTTACAAAGCTTTAATAAGACCCCATTTAGAGAATTTTGTTCAATTGTGGAGTCCAGTTGCGGCTCATGGAAGTTGGGGGATCATCTTGCAGCTGGAGAGCGTCCAGAGGCGGTTTACCCGTCTGATTGACGAGGTGGGTACTCTTCCATACAGTCGTCGACTGGAAATCCTCAATTTGACAACGCTGGCAGAGCGGCGAATACGTGGGGACCTCATTGAATCTTTTAAAATGATAAGTGGTTTGGCCAATTACGGAGCTGGTTTGTTCAGTATGAGCAGATCTGGTCTTAATTTGGTATCAAACAGTAGATGCAGTAAAAGTAGCAGTAAAATGAAGAAAGTCCACAGTTCTTTTCTTCCGGAGAGGGTGAGACCATATTGGAACAAACTCCCCTCGGATGTCAAGAATTGTGGGACTGTGTTAAGTTTTAAAATAAGATTAGAGGCTTTCAAAAAAGAGACTATTTTAAACGGATCCGTAAATGATATTCATTTTTGGTATGTTTCGGACGAAGTATTAGGAAAGATTGAGGGATTAAATTATGCTACTAATAAAGAGAAGCACAATGAATATCTTGTGTGTCATCCTCATGTTGCTAAGAAACGCTTTATTAACTTACATAGTAGTGGAAAGTATGTAAATTAGATTCATTTTATCTTGGTTGTTTAGGCCAATAGATTTAAGATATTTTTAAAACTTTAGTAGATATATTTTTGATGATGTGTGATGATGTTTGTGTCATTATATTTTGATTTGATTTGATTTGATTTGTACAAAGCCCATTAGAAAATGGTTAAATGAAAGATTCGACAGTATTGTTATGATTTGGGAGCAACTCCAATCAGCGTTGACACAATCTATCAAAATGAACAACAGCGCATAGATTTCTGGGGATTGTAAAAACATTACAAAAATGTCACATTATAACAGCAAATAATTGTGAGCTAATAAACTCCTCGTTATTTTTCGTAGATTACAAAGCTCAACATAGAAATTTGATCAAATTTTGATTTTGTACTTACCTTATCAGTAGAGTTTCGTCATAATTCCTAAAATATTCCAGTGATCAAGAAAAAATGTAAGAAATTCGATTATAAACATTACACATATTTCCATAATGGGAGGGGGCGCTGAGAACAAAACCGTATCAGTCATTAAAGGAGATTTTTTAAATGTGACAGATTTTCCACAGTGATTATAGATTGCACACAAATAATAAGTGATGGGATTCTTGGATCACGAGCTGCTCGTGACGAGCAGTGGCGTAACAAAGGGCCCTGCCGACCCAGCTGTGCGGGGGGGGGGGGGGGCAAATCGTCGTTTGAATGTGGGACAATTTGGAAGAACTTAACTACGGTACTAGCAAAACTGCGCGTTTTGATCTAGAAACATACTTTTTTAGAGAGTTTATCTAAAATCATCTAATTTGTTCAATTTTAGGGAGGGGTGCCAAAAGGGAGGGGGCACCAACATGACAGGGGGGGCGCTTTTTCAGTGGGGGGGGGGGGGGGGGGGCCAACAGCCAACGTTACGCCACTGATCACGAGGGCTACCAATATCCAATACCTCAATTGCCACAGTGATGCAGCCGGTATACTGATCTTATTGGTTAAATGTGCATTTTTATAACTGTTATAACACTTCAAGAAGCCAACTATTGCAACAAATTGTAAAATTTACAGAATAAGCAGAAAATACGTGTTTAATAATGATCGAAATTGATATAATATCTGGAATCTGGATACTGGTGGAGAAGTGAATCACTTGATAGAGATTGACCAGTCAGTTTCCAGTAGTGAACAATAAAAAGGAGAATCACTGTCACGTTTCAAGTTTATGGTTCACCTTCTATCCAGATACATACAAAACCCAGATTTACCACGGAGTTTGGGGAAAGGTATTTAAGCCGCAGTGAATCGGGGTCCACAGTAAATCGGGGTTTTTATTGTTCACACTAATATGGTAATTCCTAATTTGGGTAAAAAAAATTGCTGCAGTAAATCAGGGTTTGCAGTAAATAGGGGTGCGGTAAATCGGGGTATTACTGTATATTACAAAAACCTAATTCTATAATTTAATTCTGATTTATGTCGGGTTAATATCTTCTGACCTTTAACCTAAATCATCCCTAACTGAGCTTAAATTTGAATTTGACAAACCAGTTAGATCTGAAAAGCTAGGCGAATCTGAATTGCTAGGAAAATCTGAAGGGCTTGGTAAATTCAAACTAGGTATTCTGATTTTAATCTTCTCGCCTTGGGATGACTCAAAAAAGAGTGCACTCTTTTCCTCAACACCATTCAAATGTTTCTTTTTCATATGATATCTCAAAGAAGTTTTGTTGCCATATGCAGCACTACAAATTTCACAACTGAAAGGTTTGAGTCCTGAATGTTTTCTAAGATGCTGAGTTAGAATGTGTGTATTATAAGCTCTGTAACCACAAATTGAACACGATATAAGGGATTTCTGATCATGTACAGTCCTGATGTGATATCTGAGTCCGGATTTAGATGCGGAGCAAAACTGACAAAACTCGCAGGCAAACGGTTTCTCACCGGTGTGCTGGCGCATGTGCTGCGTCAAGTTCTGTTTTAAACTACAGATGTACCCACACTCGAAGCACTCGAATTTCTCCCCTTTATCGTGTTGTTTCTTCATGTGGTAATCCATGCCGTGCTGAAACCTGCAAGAGTAATCACAGAGTACACATTTCAACAGCTTTTCTTTGCAAGGAAAAGCTTTCATTTTTCTGTCATCTCTAGGTCTGATGTAAGTGGTAACAGGTTTATCCACAGAATTGAAGTTGATATCTGATTTGGGCGGGGGAACAATTGGTGTCCAAGTACCCTGGGGAGATGGAGGTTGAATGATGCTGATAAAGGCCACACTGCTTTCCATTGTCAACATCAGTTCATCCTGGATAATAAGTTTAGTTTTTATTTTATTAGCAACAAAATATCAAACTATTCAGTTGGAAATTATAATATAATTATAATAACTAATTCATCAGATGTAGGGGGTTTGGTTGAGCTTTATAACTCTATTAGCAAAGTTCATTACATAGCTGTACACTGATGTGCTTTGAGAACGTTAACACATAATTTAAAATGCAAAGCCCAAACTGCAGTTATTTTCGCAGCTCTAACGAAAGCCACTACCATTTACAGGTCATGGTTTGACCTGTAAATGGTAGTGCAAATTTTAGTGCAGTGGAGGGAGCGGTGTGGTGCATTAATAGTGACAGCCTACTGATTTAGAGTTGTTTTTAAGTGAGCATAATGGGTATATTTTTGGACCTAAAGGCTTTACTATGACAGCTTTAAAATTGGTTCTTTTAATCATTTATTAAATATCACTTTAAAAATACATAAATCTGGAATCTGTTCACACTGTGAACCAGCCCTATATAAAAAAAACCCTCTTAAATTAAATATTAAAAACGTTTCAATAATGGAAATAGTCATACAATTAAAAAATTTACCAAATTCTTAATATCTACCTTAAGAGAAAAATACCTACCTAAGTCAATGTCTACCTGTAATACACTAAATATTAGGTTAAATACATAGGTGGTGGAGTCAGCACACATTTACCAAAATCAAAATTTTTTAATAGGAGGAACCTGTGGGCCGAGAACACTGGATTAAATTTGTTGAAGGGGAATGTTTTCAAATGGACATATTCAATATTTTCATAGCATAAAAGTTTTCTCGACTCGTGTCTCTCCCACCGACCTCACTGATTGGTCACTGGTCAAAACCACAAAATTTTGGTCAAGGGGACAGCAGAAAAGCTTCTCTTCAAAAAATTCAAAAATCTCTTTTTATATAATATTCTGATGATTTTCTGTTTATCCAAGCTTTTTTTGAGAATAGAACCTCAATCGTGTCAAGCTTTAATTTACCTGGGGACACCAGGTTATTATGTTTATAAATATATTAGAATATTCTAATATAATTGCAGCAATGCAATTTTATTCCATAGCTACCAGACCTATAATAGATGATCTCAAAGCCTATGTAGAAGCAATTATGGTGTGGCATGCAGTCAACAGCTCTGCATGTGCAAGCTTCATCCAACTGCTCCATCGGTGGAATAGACTCTGTGAAATATGCCCAAGATATGGGTACCGCCCCAATGGCCAACGCTAAAAAGACAATTCTGATTGTCAAAAATCCTGAAGACCTAAACGAAGCAGAGACCCTATTTAAACACCTGGGAGTTAAGATCACGACATTCGGGGAACGCCATCTTGTAAGCTCAAAAGAATTCAGGGAAGATTACATCAAAGAAAATGTCGAAAAATGGGTAGTTGATATTGATCAACTTGTAGATGTAGCAACCAAAGAACCACAACTGGCTTATTTGGCCTTTATTAAAGGAATATGCCACAGATGGAGATACTACATGCGTATTATACCAGACATTGGAGAGCACTTTGTCCCACTAGAGAGCAAGGTCATGCATGTGCTCACTCCAGCCCTCCTTGGTCGCCCTGTCAACCAGCATGAGAGAGAAATCCTTGAACTCCCTATTCGATGTGGAGGCCTAGGTATCACCAATCCCGTCAGGATAGCATCTCGTGAATATGCATACTCAGTGGCACTCAGTGGTGTAACGAAGGGCCCCGCCGTCCGCCGACCCCGCTTTTTTGGCGGGGCGCCAACAGGCAAGGTTACGCCACTGGTGGCACTCTCTAAAAATCTTGTGAGTTTAATCAACCAACAAGACCAGGATATCACCCAGTGGCGTAACGAAGGGCCCCGCTGTAACGAATCACCTAATTTGTTCAATTTTAGGGAGGGGCCCAAAAAGTGGAGGGGGCGCCAACAGGGGGGCGCTTTCTTGGCGGGGACGCCAAAAGGCAACGTTACGCCACTGATATCACCAAGCTGGATATGGGCAAGATGAAAGAAAAGAAAGAAGAACTGAGGAAACAGAAAGAAGAGTTTCTATCCCAAAGGTTCAAGATGCTTTATAATGGGTAAGATCATCCTCATAAGAACCAATTAAACCAAGCACCATTGGAAAGAACATTTCTTGACATCAGGGTCACTCATCCTAATTGCGACTCAAATACGTTTAAGCCACTAGATAAAATCTACAGTACCCATGAGATTATTATTAAATCTAAAATAGCTAATAATTTAATAAATTATTAACAGGCCCCTTAACGTGGGCAATAATATACGCTTTATAGATTATATAAACAAATTGAAGTCTATTTTCCAATGTTGTTAAGTGTCTCTTTAGATCTGTTTTGGTCTTTCGTGGGTGTTCCCACATTTGTTGGTTGAGAATACTCAACATAACATACATGATGCTTGACTGCTTTATTGACCCGGAAGGCACCGGGGGCAGACATCCCAACACCAGTGCGTTGGGACATAGTGTTGGTCTGCTTCAGGACGTGTTCGATCCTAGAGAAGCCGCCATCCCCTCTACTGCTTTAGCTCAGCGGCAGCATGAGCCCTGGTTTCCTGCCACATTGGTACCTCTGAAAGTACAGAAAAGTGGTGGATTTCGGGGTCCAGGATACTCCCTCTTTGTTCTTTATGGTGGTAATATTTCTCTGAGATGTTTGCAGAGTCTTTATTTCATGATCTTTCTAGTCGGATAAATCCTGGAGAGCATCATTTTGTCCCCAAAGAAATTCGACTCTCCTAATGAATGCTTTTTGTGTGCTGCTTTTTGTTAACACTTCATCTAGATAGGAATGTGAGTCTGCTCCACCCAGCTCTTCTTTCAGTTGCAGGTAACTGGTGTCTTGCACCTCCAGACACAATAAGAGCTGGTGTACGGGAGAATCAATGAAGCTGTTACAGAAACGACAGCCCTCACCACTGCCACCACCCATGATCTTTTGGATATTCGCAAAGAGTGGTGAGCTGCCGTGAATGTAGTCCATTATTCGGCTGTCCAGATTTTTACTCGTGTTGTGCCCGAATAAAAAGTTGTTTTTGTCTAGGAGCAGCCCACTGTTTTTGATCTTTGTGATCACACCGAGTATTTTGGTCTCCTTGTTGTTACTGACAGTTCTGCATCGCAGATTT